GGATCAGACTGGGTTAGCAACTGATTTTGATGACTGTTCAGCACAACTCATTTTCTTTCCTAGTTGGAAAACAGATGTGATTTTCAGAATGGATTTTACAAAAAAAAAGTTAGTGTAGACCAGGGGTAGGCAACCTTGGCTCTTTTATGACTCGTGGACTTCAACTCCCAGAATTCCTGAGCCAGCCACGCTGAGGGGAAAGGGAGAGGTTTCCAAGCTGAGCCATGCTGGCTCAGGAATTCGGGGAGTTGAAGTCCACGAGTCATAAAAGAGCCAAGGTTGCCTACCCCCGGTCTAGGCCTAGGTCACTTTCTGACTCGTGAACTTCAACTCCCAGAATTCCTGAGCCAGCATGGCTCAGCATGGAAACCTCTCCCTTTCCCCTCAGCATGGCTGGCTCAGGAATTCTGGGAGTTGAAGTCCACAAATCTTAACATTGTCAAGGTTGAAGAACACCGTAATAGATGCTATTAGGTGGCAGGAATTGCTATGTACTTTACCATTTGGTGAGCTTTGCAAATGGATCTGGTTGCTTTTCAGCAACATTGTTCTCAAGTAACACAATTCAGTCAGGAATCCCTGGTGCAGAACTGGGGGGAGGACCCTAAATTGGGAATTGTTTATTTAGCACTTTTTATTGAGAAGGTGATGGTGACACTAACTTGTTCCCTACATTTGATGTGTAACAATGATAGGGCAAGTAGGGTTCCATTTTAAAGAATATTTGAACAAAATGTAGTCTTACATTCCTTTTATATTTCCCTACGTTTTGAAACTTCTAGGAGATGTTTGTAAAAAGAGTGTTTGTCCAAAATCAGAACCCCTGAAAAATTACTGTGTCAAATTGGTTAAGGCCCCGAAAGCTAATCTAATCATGAAATGGCATTATAATAAGTTGGTATAGCACAACTATTTTAAAATAAGACCAAGTCGGTTGTTAAGAGAAGAATCTTGAATGAGCTGGCTTTGGAGTCATGTTTTAAACCTTGTGCCCACAGTTGAGATCATCTAACCTCAATAGATAGTCAACTTGCCACTAAAGTGGGCCTACACAATGAGACAACTTGAAGGTCAACTTGGGCTGACGAGATAACCAAATTGTATAAAAAAAATACAGCAAAACTCACTTGTGTGAGACTGGAAGGTGAAAAGAAAATGGGAGAAGAAAAATATATGGAAGAAAATTACCCATGTCCCCATATCTAGGATTCGTTGTTGTTGTTTTTTCAGTTTGTTATCCAGCACCGACTCAAACACAACCAATTTTCTAAAATTAGAGCTTTTTCTCTTGATCAGGAATTCAGGGATTTTTTTAAAAAAAACAACAACAAAGTTTGAAAAGCTCTGGTCTAGAACATTCCCTACGGCCAGTTAAAAGCATTTTCTCTCAATTCTGCATGGTACATGGCTTTCCTTTTTTCTTCACCTGAATACTGTTATTTGCTGAGTCATGTCCCACTCTTCACAACTCCATAGACCGCATTATGCAAGCCCTCCCTGTCCTCTGCTGTCTCTCGGAGTTTGCCCAAATTCATGGTCATTGCGTCGATGACACTATCTAACGATAAGAGGCGTAGTGATGCAGTGGTTAGAATGCAGTATTGCAGGCTACTTCTGCCGACTGCCAGCAGTTCGATCTTGACTGGCTCAAGGTTGACTCAACCTTCCATCCTTCCGAGGTCGACAAAATGAGGATCCAGATTGTTGGGGGCAAAATGCTGACTCTGTAAACCGCTTAGAGAGGGCTGTGAAGCACTGTGAAGCAGTGTATAAGTGTAGGGCCGGGGTAGACAACCTTGGCTCTTTTATGACTCGTGGACTTCAACTCCCAGAATTCCTGAGCCAGCCATGCTAGCTCAGGAATTCTGGGAGTTGTCCACGAGTCATAAAAGAGCCAAGGTTGCCTACTTCTGGTCTAGGGGCTATTGCTATTGCTATCTCTGCCATCCCCTTCTCCTTTTGCCTTCTGTCTTTCCCAACATCAGGGTCTTTTCCAAGGAGTCCTTGTTTCTCATTTGGTGGCCAAAGTCTTTGAGCTTCAGCCTCTGTCCTTCCAAAGGAGAGTCAGGGTCAATTTCTTTTAGGTTTAGAATTAACCTGGAAACTGATAGACATTATCTTTTTCACTTGCTGTTATATCAGGCGTTGCATCAACAAGGCCAACCCTGTAAACCCAGTTAGACAAATAGCCCACACGTTTGTCCTGTGTCGAAAATTCAAGTACGTTTCGCAAGCAAATGTCATGAAGACATTACCTTGGGATGAAGGGAAGGTTTGAGCAATTGGAAACAACGATTAGTAAGAAGACCCCCAAGGCCAAATGTTATCTGGTGGCACTTGGAAGGACAATCTCTGCTATTTGGTGTGGGAGATGTTGCAGCACTGAAATGCCGTCTTTTGCAATTCGCTGACTTACATTGCAAATGCTGATTGTCATACCATATTTTGGAGGGGAAATAAGACTCACAACCCATCACTTCTTTGCAGCATCTTAGGGGGGGGGAGGGGAGGACGTGTTTCCGGATAACATTGCTTATAGAACATTTTTGCTGCTGAGAGATACAGACATTTTATCTATTGAGCCATGTTTTTAGCTCCACAAGGATGTGTGCAAGTGACAGGGAAGTGAAGACATCTCTCATCCAAGCCTTCCTCGGAATTAAAAGGAAAATCCCACCATTCATTTAGTCAGATAGACATTCAAAAGGTTTGCCCTGTCCAGTCATGTCGATCTTTAAGGCAGGGGTAAGCAACCTTGGCTCTTTTATGACCCGTGGACTTCAACTCCCAGAATTCCTGAGCCAGCCACGCTGAGGAGAAAGGGAGAAGTTTCCATGCTGAGCCATGCTGGCTCAGGAATTCTGGGAGTTGAAGTCCACGAGTCATAAAGCGGCCTAGGCCTAGGTCAGAGGTAGGCAACCTTGGCTCTTTTATGACCCGTGGACTTCAACTCCCAGAATTCCTGAGCCAGCCATGCTAAGGGGAAAGAGAGGTTTCCATGCTGAGCCATGCTGGCTCAGGAATTCTGGGACTTGAAGTCCACGAGTCATAAAAGAGCCAAGGTTGCCTACCCCTGACCCAGAAGAAAGTCATTGGGATGTCATGTCATTCTCACGAGGCCTTTCATCTTGAATTTATAAAAAAAGTCTGCTGGGTAATTTAAAAGCAGGAGGGACTCTCTCACACCTTAAGAAATAAGGGGGGGGGGAAGACCCCAAACCACCGTCAGCTTGTTTTAATGTAAGTCTTTACTTACTTTTGTGTGAGGTGTGGCTGCCTCTCACACAAAACCATCCCTTCTTCCTCCCTTCCCCCCCCCCACCAGGCCGCCAATTCAGAAAGGTTGGGGAATGCTGCATTAACACAACCGATTTGACCCAGTCTACACAACAACAGAACCCATGATAAAATGCAAGACACGGTGAAATTAAACCCCAAAACGCTGCTTCCCCACGAGTTTCATTAAAGGATATGAAAACAATTGGCGTGAAACTCAAATGCTCCACTTAAGTCAGGGGTAGGCCACCTTGGCTCTTTTATGACTCGTGGACTTCAACTCCCAGAATTCCTGAGCCAGCCACGCTGAGGGGAAAGGGAGAGGTTTCCAAGCTGAGCCAGGCTGGCTCAGGAATTCTGGGAATTGAAGTCCACGAGTCATAAAAGAGCCAAGGTTGCCTACCGCTGCTCTAGGGGATAATGCTCACCTCTGTTTCTTGGCCGAGGGAGCCAGCATTGCCCAAAGACAGTGGTCATGGGGCCAGGAAGGTCATGGAATGCTGTTACTTCCCCACCAAAGTGGTACCTATTAATCTAGTTGCATTTGCATGCTTTTGGACTGCTCGTTGGGCAGGAGCTGAGGCAAGGAACAGGAGCTCACCCCATCACGCAGAGCTCGGGTCTCAAACCCAGACTATTAGCTTTCCATCCGACAAACTCAACATGTTTCACATCTGAGCCACCACACCCCCACCATTCACTGTATACAGCAGTGGCCAAAATGGTGGAAACCTTTTGGGAAAAGTGTACAGTAGAAATGCCACCTTTGGTTAAGTTTCCACCCATTTGTCTTCTAATTTCTTTATAACTGTAGCCTTGTTCACTTAATAATACTATTTTACATCGCTTTCTGGGCAACCAGTCAACTCTTTGCCCATTACTTTAGTTTTATGACGTTTTACAAGCTCACTAAATGAAAGAACACAAAAAAACCTAACCAACTTGATAGCCATCACATAACACACTGACAAATGTCCTCCTCTCAGCATCAATCACTGAATCCTACTGTGATCTAATTGACTCATTGCCAACACAAGATGACACCTGATTGGCTCTCTAAACACTCACGCTCATTGGCTACAATCAGATGAAAGAAAGCTACCTGAGATCAACCTAAGCAAGTTGTGCTTCCTTTTTCTGGTTATTTGGCTGTAACCTTTCATAGAATATAGTACAGATAATTGAACAAACTATGTTGTATTACATTCTTGATTAAACTATCTTTCCATTGATATATAATTTTATGGTACTTCTCCAAAAAAAAGTGTTATTAGCCATCAAACCTCAAAAATACACTTTTCCCAAAAGGTTTCCACAATTTTGGCCACTGCTATAGCTTTGAATAAATGTTCTTATCTCATGGTATGTGCGGAATAATCCTGATCTAACTAGCAGGGTTATTGAAACGATTGTAGAAGTAATCTATGCAGAATACTTGGGAACTTTTAAAGAGTTGTGAATAGACACATTTTTCTCCATTCTCCCTATTCTTCTCTTTACAAGACAATGTCAACAAGTTACGTATCGCCTGATTAGTTATTTAGAAAGGAAGAACTCAATATTTTTAATACTATTTAATATAATATATTTATATGCAATTACATGAGAGGCTTCGTAAAGAGGCACTTCTATTTCTGTTGTTGCTGTTCTTTGCCATTTTGTAATTTATTTCTGTTTCTCAAGTCAGGATACCGAATGTAACATCTTCTGTCTTTATGTTACAGTTGGGAAACATTCTCCTCTCTCCAGTCTATTTTGTGATCGGTTTGATCAAGCGACTTTTCTCGAAATCTCTGCCTCCGATCACGTTGGAAAACCCAGACGTAAAATATGCATTACGGCTGATCGATAAAGAGGTAAATAACCTGTTCTCTTATTTCTCTCTCTTAAGCTCCCGTCTCTTGTTACAGCAGATTTTTTAAAAATATTTTAATACTCAAAATGAGGTCCATATGCGGAGGACCCGAGACTGAAGTAAACTATAATAATACTTCCTAACTGTTGTTAAGTGGCAGTTTTATCGATATCAATCAAAAGCATTGTATGCATTGAGAAATATTGCAGAATGTAAATTAACACTGTGGCCTTTTGTTATATGGAGAGGTTGAAAAACTGGATGTTGAGCTAACTCTCCTTTATATTTAAATTTATTTAGTTAGTTAGTTTATATAGCCACCTACTCGCTCACAGTGACTCTAGGTGGCTTACAAGCAAGAAAAACACAGTATAGAAAATAAAATAAAAGTCTACATTCATGGGAAATTAGTAATTTTAGGGTGATGCTTGTGTGCAGTGCTTGTATCAAGTGGAAAGCCTCATTTATGAAAGTGGAGGAAATCTAATACACCCGTATTTATTATTTCAAATGGGATGGACCGACCTCATAATAATTCCTCCTGTTTGGCTCCTGAAAGGCTAAACTAACCTTCTGAATGTGCAGCTGCACTGATTTCTAATTTATGCAAATTAGAAATATAGACCATTTGAACAGCCAACTCACTGCCTTGAATTCTGAAATGTTTCCTTTATGGCCACAACTCATTATATTTGCTGAATAGGTGACCTTATCTCCAGCTTTGGATTTATCGATCTGATCTGTGTACCAGGCTTGTGTGCCATGAAAGAAGGCTTGTTACGATATGTGTGATGTTTCGGGACTCCTGTTTTATTTAATTTTGTTTAGACCTTAGTATGGACTTGTCACGTGGGCATGTAGTCCGCAATATCTATGTGTCAATGCTGCTAACATTGGATGTTCTTGCTTTGACAACATATGGAGATGCAACCTTATTCTTCCTTATGCTTTACTCTTAGAATTAGCTGATACTGGGGGAGGAGGAGGAGGAATGTAATAGTAATAGTAGTAAAGTTGGAAGGGACCTTGGAGGTCGTCTAGTCCAACCCCCTGCTCGGGCAGGAAACCCTACACCATTTCGGACAAGTGGCTGTCCAGTCTCTTCTTAAAAAATTCCAGTGTTGGAGCATTTACTGCTTCTGGAGGCAGGCTGTTCCACTGATTAATTGTTCTCACTGTCAGGAAGTTTCTCCTTAGTTCTAGGTTGCTTCTCTCCTTGATGAGTTTCCACCCGTTGCTTCTTGTCCTGCCTTCAGGTGCTTTGGAAAATAGCTTAATTCCCTCTTCTTTATGGCAGCCCCTGAGGTTTGGAAGACTGCTATCATGTCCCCCCTTGTCCTTCTCTTCGTTAAACTAGACATACCCAATTCTAGCAACCGTTCCTGTGATGGGAGTTAGTTAAACATAACAGTATTGTAATAGTGTGTGAATTCAGTGCTTTTGAAATAAGAGCTGATAAGAAATGGCGGGTTGAAGAACTGGAGGGAAGGCCTGCATTTCAAACTAATTGGAGAATGTAATTTATGACTGTTAATTAGAGGAGGGAATTGTGCTTTGATACTATGTGCTCAGGGGAGGGGAATTCAGTTTTTGGCTTCGATTGTGTTAGTGGCGAAGCTGTGCTACTCCAATAAAGATTCTTTAAGGTAAATAATGCTGCAAAGTTCTTTGAAGAGTTTCATCTGTCGGAGCCATGACATTAAGCCAAAATCTGAATTCTCCTTCCTATGTCTATAGGGTCAAAAAGTCATAAATTTAGCTGATGGCTGTGCACTTGGGTCCCTGCCCACTTTTATGTGAAGTATCAGTACTGTGAAGTACTAGTGCCACTTTTTCAAGCCTTGGAATAAGATCACACTTACTGCATCCAGTTCTAGTCATCACAATATAAAAAAGATGTTGAGACTCTGGAAAGAGTACAGAGAAGAGCAACAGCAGAGAAGAGCAACAAAGATGATTAGGGGACTGGAGGCTAAAACATATGAAGAACAGGTGCTGGAATTGGGTATGTCTAGTTTAATGAAGAGAAGGACGAGGGGGGACATGATAGCAGTGTTCCAGTATCTCAGGGGCTGCCACAAAGAAGAGGGAGTCAAACTATTCTCCAAAGCACCTGAAGGCAGGACAAAATGCAACGGATGGAAACTAATCAAGGAGAGAAGCAACCTAGAACTAAGGAGAAACTTCCTAACAGTGAGCACAGTTAACCAGTGGAACAGCTTGCCTCCAGAAATTGTAGGTGCTCCATCACTGGAGGCTTTTAAGAAGAGACTGGATAGTCACTTGTCTGAAATGGTATAGGGCAGTGGTGGCGAACCTATGGCACGGGTGCCAGAGGGGGCACTCGGAGCCCTCTCTGTGTGGGCACACGTGCCGTTGCCCCAGCCTCATCTCCCCCGTGGCCTCTTCCTCTCCAGCAGCCCCTGAAGGAGAGTCGCCCCTGAGCGTGGTCCATGTGGAACAGCACAGCCAAGGACATGGCAGCCAGGCAGCTTAGACAAGACTCTGCCCTCACGCCCCATCGTGCACAGTTGATGCTGCAGGGCGCGGGCAGAGGGCGTGGCTGCCATGGCGCTGCTGGGCGATCTGCGGCAGGCCTTGGGGACAGTGAGTGGCCCTGCGGGCAGGCGGGGTGGGGGGCGGACCAGGCGGGGCAGGGGTGGAGCGAGGGCGGGGCCAGTTTTTGAGCACTCGGTCTCTAAAAGGTTCACCATCACTGGTATAGGGTCTTCTGCTCAAGCAGGGGGTTGGACTAGGAGACCTTCCATCTCTGTTATTCTCTGTCCTATATTTGTGGCCTGCCCAAATGAATTGGCTTTCAATTGTATGGTCAAAGCCACAATTTTGACCCACACGTACTCCCCCTGGGACACTCCTAAATGCAGCCTATTGGGTTCACTGCCCCTCAGACGTGAAAGAGTAGAAGCTTCTAAGTGTGGTCGGTGGAAAGCTCCTCAAACAATGAAAGACTGTTAAGCCGCCCGTCTTGGTTGGGTGCTGTTGGGAACTGTGTTTATTTCTTCATTCCACACTCTTCTGAAACGCAGCTCCGGCTTGACTACCAACATTTGGGCTTGGATGGAGCCCGTATAACTCTGCCATCGTTTTATGAAGTGTTTGTTCCTCTCTTTTCAGCACGTTAGTCATGACACCAGAAAGTTTCGCTTCGCCCTGCCGAGCCCAAGACATGTTTTGGGTCTTCCTGTGGGTAAGCTGTTTGTGTTAAAAATAAGCTATATATACATCCATCCAAGGTCCTTTGGAGAGGGAATAGAGCAAAATGTGACATCGTTGGATTGAATTGTGACTTTGGAAAGAAAGTTCTTTTTTCTATTTGTCCTCCTACTTCTACTCCTTCTCTTCTTCCTTCTTCTTTCTCCTCCTACTCCTCCCTTTTCTTCTTCTTTCTCCTTTCTCTTCCTCTTCCTCCTCCTCCTTCCTTCCTTCCTTCCTTCTTCTTTCTCCTCCTCCTCCTCCTCCCCTTCCTTTTTTCTCCTTTCTCTTCTTCCTCCTCCTCCTCCTCCCCTTCTTTCCTTCCTTCCTTCCTTCCTTCTTCCTTCTTCTGTCTCCTCCTCCTCCCTAATTTATTCATTGGCTTATTTTAATTCCTTTCAAGAAAAGCTCTGTTAGCTAGAAGGAAGAGTGTACTCACATTGGAAAAATTCTGCCTAAATCTAAACAGATCCGGACCGCTCTCCAAATGAATGGGAGGCTTCATCCGTGACCTCTGAACTCCCAAACCCAAAGCTAAACACCACTGAACAAATAAAACGGTGTTGCTAAGTAGCAGGCAGCCTGCTAACTTAATCCTGATCCCCGAATTGCCACAATAAGCCATTCCAACCTTGATATTCTTTGGAATATTTGGTTGTTGACTTCTCCTGGTGCCACCCAACTCCCCTTGTGGCACCTCAAAAACAGAACACAGTTGTGATTGTTTACGATGTGTGGCCAGGAGAAAGGCCTGGAATAGGTATCAGGCGAATTTGCAACCATGGCTTCCGTGTTTTTGTTTGCCCTTCCATTCTTCCCCTAGTTGCCGAGAGAGGAATCCGTAATTGTAGCCAGCTGCTCCTCTCCTGTGCCAGAGGCGTATTGCGCAGGGAAGCAGGTGTTGTGCCTGTGTTGTGCCTTGCAAGCATGGAGAGCGCTGTAAACTTCAAGGATACGAAGAATTAAAAAAAATGTGTTGTGCTGCATCGCTCTTTAAAAGAACCCATAGCAGCCGGTATGTGTAACACTAGCTAGGAATTTATCCAGGAGATAAATAACGGTGCAAACAATTCCAATTCTCTTTTTAAGACTTCATGCTCAATCTTTGATTGGTTTTTATTTATCTGACAATAGTTTTAGCTGTTCCCCCCCCCCCCCGTTCTTCCCCCCCCCCAAAAAATAAAACCAGGCCAACTCTTGTTTTGCTTTCTGAATAGAAAGTGCTGTGGCTTGCTAACAGCTGTTATCTCCTGCTAACAGCTGGGAGGGGGGTTCTGACGAAAGCTGACAATGATCCTTGTCTAAAGAAAGGATCTCAGTGTTTGGGGTTTTTTTTTTAAGCAAGTTTAATTGAGGGTGGGGGGAGAAAGGGGGGGTACCAAGACTTCCGGCTACTGAATTGTTTCCCGTGTAAGACCCATGGGTCCCAGAGTATGTGAAAACAGAGATAGTCTTAAGGGTTTATTTTTTTTTCTCATGCTTCGCTACACAAAATTCAGCCGTCTAATCCGGAGCAAGACTTGCAAAATCCGGAGCAAGACTTGCAAAAGGAGAAGAGCGGGATTCTTCATCCCTGTTGCATCAGACTGTGAAAGAAGTTTTTTTCTGATCCCGAGGATTTCTGTCTCTCTCTCTCTCTCTCTCTCTCTCTCTCTCTCTCTCTCTCTCTCTCCCTCTCCCTCTCCCTCTCCCTCTCCCTCTCCCTCTCCTCTCCCTCTCTCTCTCTCTCTCTCTCTCTCTCTCTTCCCCCCCCCCCCCGTCACAAGGCAGAATAATAATCGCCTTCTTTTCCAGGGCCCAGGGTGGAAATCACAAAGGGCCCCATTAATATCCACAGAGCTGCCCGGGGTACCTGGAATAAATGTTATATAGGTTATTCTATTGTTTCTCCTTGTAAATCTCTTCAGTTGTACTACAGTACAGGTAGTCCTTGACCACTACTACTACTAGTACATCATCATCAATAATAATAATAAAATTTGGTTCATAATCTGGGATTGGTAAAAACCTAACAGTTCAAGTCTTAAGCAAGGACCTAAGAGCTACTGCTGCTATTATTATTGTCGTTGTTATTATTATTAATCTTCAGTTTGATTCACAGTCTGGCACTGGTAAAAACCTAACAGTTAAAAGTCCTAATTAAGGATCTAAAGAGCTGCTGCTGCTGCTGCTGCTGCTATAGTAGTAGTAGTAGCAGCAGCAGCAGCAGCAGCAGCAGCAGCAGCAGCAGCAGCAGCAGCAGCAGCAGCAGCAGCAGTAGTAGTAATAATAATAATAATAATAATAAAAAAAAAAAATTCGATTCACTGTCTGGACTGGTGAAAATCTAACAGTTCAAGTCCTAACCAAGGACCTAAGAACTGCTGCTGCTGCTGCTGCTGATGATGATGATGATGATGATGATGATGATGATGATAATAATAATAATAACAATAACAATAATAACAAGTAAGGGTAGTACCAATAGTAATAGGCTCCTTGGGTGCAATCCCAAAACAACTGGAGCACCACTTGAACACCATTGGCATTGACAAATTCGTTACTAGTCAATTGCAAAAGGCGGCCTTATTAGGAACTGCTTCCATCCTGCGACGATACCTGTAATACCATCAAACATCCACATCTGCCTATCCCAGGTCCTGGGTAAGGACTCGATAGGTAGACAAAATGCCAAATCCAGTCTGAACATCTGGCTGACTGTGTGATGATCAATAATTAATAAATAAATAAATAAATAAATAAATAAATAAATAAAAATATTAATTTTCAGGTTGGTTCACCGTATGGGACTGGTAGAAACCTAACAGTTCATGTCCTAACGAAGGACCTAAGAGATAATAGTAGTAGTAGTAGTAGTAGTAGTAGTAGTAGTAGTAGTAGTAGTAATAATAATAATAATAATAATAATAATAATAATAATAATAATAATATGGATGAAACGTGATACCCATTGTCATCAGGGCACTGGGAACTATGTCCAAAAACTTTGCAAAATCCATCAAGAAACTGCAGCTTCCTGCAATAACTCCAGCAATGCTACAAAAAAACTGCACGACTCGGAACATCTTACATTTTAAGGAGGTACCTGGTTGACACCTAGGATGCTGGCAGCAACGCGTGTCAACCATCAGCGCCAGCCAATTTGAATGTTCAGTTGACTGAGGTTCACATCTAATTAATAATAATAATAATCATCTTCAATTCGATTCACCGTCTGGGACTGGTAAAAACCTAACAATTCAAGTCCTAACCAAGGACCTAAGAGCTGTTAAGGTAACGTCTGAGTAGAGATAGGCAGTTCCGAATATTATTATTTATTTATTGTGTCATCAAATGTAAACTAAGTTCCATAAATAATGAGGCAAAGCAAACTAAGGAGGCTGAATGATAATCTGTCTCATTTCAGGGCAGCACATTTACCTCTCAGCCAGGATCGATGGGAATCTAGTCATCAGGCCTTATACACCTGTGAGCAGCGATGATGACAAAGGTTACGTGGACCTTGTTGTGAAGGTAAAAGCTTTGTTATTAATCATTTTATTAAGCTTATCAAAAAAAAAACACAAAGGAAAGCTAAAATAGTGGGAAAATGGGGGAGGGAACAGGGAAGAGAAAGAAATGTAGAGGAACGCGGAACAAAAAAACAAAAGCATTGACTCCTGACTCTTAGTGCAGTAGAATAACTTAGTAACAATACAGCTTCAACTTTTTAGTTTCACATACTTAATATGTACCAGCCATTTCCATAACAAACTTATCAGCAAAAATCAAAGTTAAGGTTCCATTGTTTTTCCATCTCAAGCACAAAATCCAGAAGTGGTTTCCAGGTAGAAACAAAGTTGATATGTTGTTTTTCTTTGATTGAAGCAGTTAATTTAGCCATCTCTGTTAGTTCCATCAGTTTTTCCAGCTTTATATCGCTTTTTGTCAGCTGTATTGGAGGAGAGATTAAGCAAGGAAAACCTGTGGCCTAGAGGTGCTAACGTGCAAGCAGCCCGGGTTTGAATCTCAGAAGGGTATGGCTAGCTGATGAGAGCTAAATAGCTATACTAATCTCCCTTTAATTCTCTGTCAGCAAAAATCTAAATTTAACACAGAAATAGTTTGTCACAGTAGCATCTGCCTGTAAAAGCTCCTAGATTGGGGCTGAAAGGCAAAAGCAATAGTAGATTGATCTGTCCCATATTTGGGTAGACTAGGTGCGCTGGTAGACCGGTTTCAATTGACAAAAAGCGAGGAAAACCCGTGGCCTAGAGGTTAATACACCTGCCTAGCGTGTAAGCAGCCCGGGTTCAAATCTCAGAAGGGTATGGCTAGCTGATGAGAGCTAAATAGCTTGAAATAGCTATACTAGTCTCCCTTTAATTCTTTGTCAGCAATATATATATTGCTGACCAACCTACTTATAAAAATAATGGTTCTGAGATAATAGACCTTCAGAGGAATCAGTTGTGAAAATGTTCCAGGATAGAAATATTCCTGGTATTATATGGTTACTAACCTACAGACTTCTTTTAAACATGTATGGTGTATGGTCCACTGTCTTGAGCAACATGGATTTGTAGGCATCTGAATGGGTTCATGTTTCCCATCCGTCCATTCTGTTTTAAAGGTATTTTCTCCTCTATAGATCTATTTCAAAGGGGTTCACCCCAAATTTCCTGAAGGAGGGAAAATGTCTCAGTACCTGGAGAATCTAAAGATGGGGGACACCATTGATTTTCGGGGACCCAATGGATTGCTTGTTTACGAGGGAAAAGGTGAGGCTGTAGCAGCTGAATGTCAAGTTGGAGAAGTTCACCATTATCTCTGATTTATCTTACAAGTAGTCCTTGACTTATGGCTCTAATGGAGCCTGCCCATCACAGCCATCATGCAACCAACACCATTGTAAGTGAATGTGGCAGCAACCATGGTTATAAAGGAGCCACAGTGGTGGTTGAATGAAGCAACGGTCCACTAATGGGAGTGGTTTGCCCAAAACTGGAAGTCAATGCCAGCTCTTGTCGAAGCTGCTGTAAAATACAATTGCGTGACCGCGGTTATAAATACAGCCCAGTGGCTGAGCACCCACGTTCAGTCATGTGACTGCAGGGGAGGGCCCAACTGGCACAATTTTGAAGAAGCCTCCCAAGTTAGGTCCATCGTGACTTTGAACCAGGGGTGTCAAACTCAATTTCATTGAGGGCCGCATCAGCATTGCGGTTGCCCTCAGGGGGGCTGGGTGGGTGTGGCCAGAGTGGGTGCAGCCTACTGAGTGGGCGTGGATGGTCAGTGTAGCCTACTGGGTGGGCGTGGCCAGCTCTACATCGTTCGCGTCAATGGTGCCTGTGGGGGCCTGGGCAGGAGTGGGATAGATCTGAGGGTCTCTAGCAGAAGGGGATGGGACCAGGACCACTTCCAGGTGATGGTGCATTTCTTCATTTCTCACAAAGGGTGACACCTCCCCAGCATGCACCCAGGGGGCGGGGCCGACACGGCAGGGGCTGGTTCCTCACTGTTTCCAGATGGCCTTGTGGAGCTAAGACTGAGTGTGTTTCAGCATAGAGGGCCACCACAAAATTGTACATTGGCTCCTGGCCAGCCTGGGCCAGGGCCAAGACAGCGGGGGCCATTCCCTCACTGTTTTGAGGATGGCTTCGTGGGCCACAGGAAACCACTTCGCGGGCCACATCCAGCCCCCGGGCCTTGTGTTTGACATGTCTGCTTTGAACAGTTGCATATCAAGGAGCAAAACAGGTTATATCCTGACTCCTCCCCCGCCCCCCGCCCCCCATTGTGGGTTTTTCTAGATGTATGGCAAGTATTCATCATTATGATTAGGAGTGGACAAAAATGTCAAATTTGACATCCACGTGCATTCCAAGCACATGTCCCAAATGTGCTTTTTTGAAGTAACAGCTGGACCTTCTTATTTTTCTTTGGAGACGTTTCGCTTCTCATCCAAAAAGCTTCTTCAGCTCTGACAGGATGGTGGGGAATGGAAGGATTTATACTCCTTGCGGACAGCTGGTCATTTGCCTTCTTTTAGAGAGTCGTTGAGCCCACTTGGGAGGCTTGTCTGTGTCCTCAGAGTCACCTGAGTGGTGCAAATGGGTGTGGAGCCTTCTTTGAAACTGCAGTTCTGCCGTTCTTTTCAGCAGTTCCAAGAAGGCTTTACACCCATTTGCACCACTCAGGTGACCCTGAGGACCCAGACAAGCCTCCAGGTGGCCTCAACGACTCTCTAAAAGAGTGCAAATGACCAGCTGGCTGCAAGGAGTATAAATCCTTCCATTCCCACCATCCAGTCAGAGCTGAAGAAGCTTCTGGGATGTGAAGCGAAACGTCTTTAAGGAAAAACAAAGGAACTCCAGTTGCCTCTTGGAAAAAGCACCTTTGCGACAGCCATGACGTGGATGACTGAGAATCCCCATAGACATTTCAAACACATGTCTTGGATTTGAGACATTTGGCAATGCCACCAATCCACTTGCTCACCTGCTTAACTTTTCCGCCAGGTGTGTTTGCGATTCGTTCAGACAAGAAATCCGAACCCGTTCTGAAGCAAGTGAAATACGTCGGGATGATTGCGGGTGGAACAGGTATTCTGAAATGTGCTTTCCTGCCTTGAGTATTCAACTTGATGTGTCAGGTGCAAAGAATTGAGACCTCAGTCCAGTTAAGGCAGTGGTTCTCAACCTTTTTAATGTTGCGACCCCCAACCGGTCGTAGGTCGAGGACTACTCAACTGGTGTAGCACCGTTTGCAGACTGGGATTTTTGGCGGGCTCAGCAGGGCAGAGACAGCCTGGACAATTCCTATTGGCTTTTGAAAGCCAATAGAATTAGACTCTATTCAAGAGAGTCTATTCTATTGGCTTTCAAAAGCCAATAGAATAAAAGGAAGTAGCACAGCTAAGGAAAAGGGGGGGAAAAATGGCGGACTGCGTTGTTTGGCGACCCCCGTGAAATGGTCGTTCGACCCCAAATGGGATCCCGACCCACAGGTTGAGAACCACTGAGTTAAGGTGATCTATTGAACGTGCTTGCTCACACGAATCTAGTCAATTAATATTCAGCACTAAATTGGTGCTATCTCAGAGTCAATGGAATTCAAGATTTAGACCACTTGCGGCAACATAATGGCTCTAGGCTGATTACTCTCTTGACTCTGCCTACTCTTGTACAGATTCATCTTCTACAAGGATTCATTTGATTTGACTCTCTCTCTCCCTCTCCCTCTCTCTCCTCTGAAGGAATTACTCCCATGTTGCAGCTCATCCGAGCGATTGTAAAGGACAAGGAGGATCCCACAGTTTGCCATTTGCTCTTTGCTAACCAGGTAGGAAGATGTCCTTTGCTCTCTTACTAAGGAGCAAACAGCATATTGAATCAGCGGCAATAGATTGTGAAGAATAAATAAAATGGGCTGCCGATATTTCATGCTAGCAATATTGAAGCCTTGTGCAGATTTACTCAAGATATTCACAGTATTCCACTATTTTCATTGGATTGTATTTCCAGAGAAGCGTAACATGAAATTGTAGCCTTGCTTATTTCTTTTCCAATTGCTCCAAGCAAGAGACAGATTCCTCTGGAGAATCCTATCTCAGCAGCAGTTATATTATTCCAGCTTCTATTCTGGATCCTTTAATATATTTTTTTTTGTTTGAGGAAATAATGAGAAAAAGCTTAAATTAGCTGCTTCTAGTGCAAAATTTGTTAATGCAAGAACATAGCAAATCAATTTCCCTCTACAACAAACCAACTCAAATTAAGTTGTTCTCCCAAAGTGGTTTGATAAATCCTCTGAATTGGAAATGGTCTAAAGCGTTCTAGACAGAACGCCCTAATGAAATAGATTCATTTTGGAACTGAGTGAAACACTTTGGCGTGTTGATTAACAGCTCGGAACAAATGCTTTTTAAACGAAATGTAATTACCCTGAACGTTGACACGGTGTTACCTCTGACCACTTTTATGCACATTTAACTGGACTTGGAGCAGACTCAAAAGATTTGCTGCTCATAATTCACTTTTTTTTTTTTTTGCTAAGCCCTCTTGATGGTTTACATTTTGATTCCAGGGTCTTTCACATTAGCTTTCGGTTCATGATTTCTTTTTCTTTTTCTTTTTAATGGGATTAAGAGGGGATCAATATTCTAAGTTGTTCACTAGTGAATTTGTGAGATAAAACAACAATGACTGTGTTTCTGGGACAGACTGAAAGTGATATTTTACTGCGCTCGGAACTTGAGGAAGTGCGAGCTCAACACTCAGCCCAGTTTAAGCTGTGGTACACATTGGACAGAGCTCCTGAAAGTAAGTAATTCATGATACAATTAAGATTAGATGATGCTAAAACATTCTGCTTAATTGCTGAATATTAATAATTAATATTCTATTATAGAATGGAATGGAATGGAATGGAATAAATGAATAGAATAGAATAGAATAGAATAGAATAGAATAGAATAGAATAGAATAGAATAGAATAGAATAGAATAGAATAGAATAGAATAGAAATAAAGAATGCAGTGGTGGAGTGGAGTGGAGTAGAGTAGAGTTTCATTAAACACTGAAGGGTACCGTTTAGAGAAAATACAGCTAAGCGCAGGGCTCAATGTCTCAACCTCAAGGATTAGTAGACACCCATAGGTGTCTCATTAGAAGGGTTTTGCATACAGAGTGATCCAAAATTTACCAACTGCAATGTCAAACTGAGATATTTCATGCATGTTCAGGCAAGTCTGTTCATGACAGAAAGTTTACAAGTGCGAATCGGCTATTAGTTCTAGTTTTTAAAGTCCAATGTTTGCCCAATCAGGAGAAAGTGATGAAACTGATGGAAAGGGCTGTAGATGGTGAAACATTTATCCAGCCATCCATTTCAAAGCCCCTTTTGACGATCCCTAGTGCAGGGGTCCCCAAACCCCGGTCCATGAACCAGCACCGGTCCACGGCAGGTCACAAACCAGCCCGCGCAAACAAGTGAAGCCCTATCTGCGGGATGCAGGCAGCATGCGAAACCACACAGCCCACCCCTCTGGTCCGTGGAAAAACCTCTGTCCACAAAACTAATCTCTGGCGCTCAAAAGGTTGGGGGGGGCTGCCCTAGTGCACGGGACGGCAACCTGCGGCTCTGGAGCCTTCTCCTGTGGCTCCCAGCCTCCTCCGCCATTTGCAGAGCGAGAGAGAGACAGAGAGAGGCACTTGCGCCCCCCCCCTCTCTGTCATCTATTTATATCTATCTAGCCTACTCTTTAGATCTATCTATCTATCTATATCTATCATCTATTTATCATCCATCATCTATATCTAGCATCTGTCTGTCCACGTCCATCTGTTCGTCCATCTCTCTTTCTCTTTCTCTCTCTGTCATCTATTTATATCTATCTAGTCTACTCTCTATATATATCTATTGTCTATATCATCTATTTATCATCCATCATCCATATCTAGTATCTGTCTGTCTCTGTCCATCTGTTCATCTGTCTCTCTCTCTTTCTGTCATCTATATCTATCTAGTCTACTCTCTATATCTAGTTACTCTCTATATCTATCTATTATCTATATCATTTATTTATCATCCATCATCTATCTATATCTAGTATCTGTCTGTCTGTCCATGTGTTCGTCCGTCTCTTTTTTTTCTCTCTTTCTTTCTCTGTCATCTATTTATATCTACTAGTCTACTCTCTATATCTAGTTACTCTCTATATCTATCTATTATCTATATCATTTATTTATCATCCATCATCTATCTATATCTAGTATCTGTCTGTCTGTCCATGTGTTCATCCGTCTTTTTTTTCTCTCTCTTTCTCTCTCTGTCATCTATTTATATCTACTAGTCTACTCTCTATAGCTAGTCTACTCTCTATAGCTAGTCTACTCTCTATCTATCTATTATCTATATCATTTATTTATCATCCATCATCTATATCTAGTATCTGTCCATCTGTTCATCCGTCTCTCTCTCTCTCTCTCTCTCTCTCATCTATTCATCTATTTATATCTATCTAGTCTACTCTCTATATCTATTATCTATATCATCTATTTATCATCCATCATCTATGTCTAGTGTCTGCCTGTCCATCTGTTTCTCTCTCTCTCTCTCTCTCTCTCTCTCTCTCTCTCTCTCTCTCTGTGTGTGTTTGTGTGTGTGTGTGTGTGTGTGTGTGTAAAAAAGAGAGTGGCCTCACACCCAATAAGAATGTGTGTCAGCTTGTCCGAGAACAGCATGAAGCCAGCTTGCCAGGTGAGCAGAAGATCGGAGAAAGGGAGAGAGGAGGGGGAGAGAGAGAGAGGGAGGGAGGGGGGGAGAGAGAGAGAGAGAGAGAGAGAGAACGAGAACTCATGCACAGCAGCGGCTATTTCTTTTTAATTAAACTCTTCAATCAAGCTCGCAGGTTTTGCAGCTCCCAGTGTGTTTTCTTTTCCCTGGGAAACGGGTCCATGTGGCTCTTTGAGTGTTTAAGGTTGCTGACCCCTGCCCTAGTGCAGTGATGGCGAACCTTTTAGAGACTGAGTGCCCAAAACCCACCCCCCGTCCCTACTTCGCCTCTTGCCCGCCCTACCTGCTCCGCCCCTGTCTGCCCCACCCGCCCGCAGGGCCACGCACTGCCCCCATGGCCCTCCGCCGCAGATCGCCCAGGCAGGCCTGCAGCACTGTGACCGCCACGCCCTCCGCCCACACCCCGCAGCATCGTCTGCACGCTTTAGGGCATGAGCGTGGAGTCTTGTTGCTGCTGCCCGACTATGTCCTTGGCTGCGCTGGTCCGTGCAGGCTGTGCCCAGGGGGGCTGCTGATGAGGCCGCAGGGGGAGGCGGGGCTGGGGCGACGGCACGTGTGCCCACAGAGAGGGCTCCGAGTGCTGCCTCTGGCACCCGTGCCAAAGGTTCGCCACCACTGCTCTAGTGTATCAGTGCTTTGTTGTTGTTGTTTTGAAAGAGATAATCAGCGCAACGTGTTCTTTTCCAACACAGAGTGGGATTACAGCCAAGGATTCGTGAACCAAGACATGCTGAAGGAACACATGCCTCCCCCTGAAGACGACGTTTTGATTCTGATGTGCGGCCCACCGCCCATGATCCAGTATGCCTGCCTGCCCAACCTGGAGAAATTGGGTTACACCAAAGAGATGTGGTTTACTTACTAACGGGGGGGTGGGGATAAAGCAGAAGGGGAAAGTTAGGAAAAAGAAGAACTGTTGGGGGGGGAACCAGGCAACAGAAACCAACTGAGTTAACAGAGGTGGAACTCACCTTCAGAGGCATTCCCGCTTGTGCACTCTTGTGTCTTTCTAATCCTGCCAAGCTGAAGCCTCTGGTAGACTGATTAACCGTGTTGTAGATCCTACTCTTTGCTTTGCTCTGTGTATCAAATCTATCCTAAGGCAATTGAATGAAGTTTGGCTCTTTTCATCCCAGATAAGCAAATATAGCTAGGCACTCAACTCATCAAAGAGTTTGTTCTGGATAGCTTCTATGACAGGGGTCTTCAAACTTGGCCTTTTTATGACTTGCGGACTTCAACTCCCAGAATTCCTCAGCCAGGCACACGTGCCTGGCTGAGGAATTCTGGGAGTTGAAGTCCGCAAGTCATAAAAGGGCCAAGTTTGAAGACCCTTGACGTGGGAGGCCAGGAGGGAACGATGAAGGAGGTGACTTCAGTCACCCTGTTGTTTCTGCAGCACCGCTTTAAATGCACACCTGTCTTGCACCAACGTGTTTGTGTCTTCATTAGCAGAGGCGGGGGGGGGGAGGAAAATCGTTTGACAGGTCAACCTGTAGAAACATAACTCATGTAGAAAGCAGCAGATTGATGGGCTCCATCGTTCCCAAGCGATGGGCGTGAAAGAGGGAGGCCCAATCTTGAAATTCTGAATCGTAATGCGGGCAAAATCCGTCGGACAGATATGAGGGCTTGGCATCTTCCTTCCGGCCTTTCTCCGGAGACAAAATTTGCGCCCGGTCTTTGCGTAAGGTGGAATAAAGGTGTGTGCATACGGAAGAAGCTCTAAACCTACCATTGGCACTGAACACTGGAAAAAAAACAAAGGAATGTAAATTTGGTTTGGAGGGATGATAGGGTAGCCTGTTAGTGGATGAGAAGATCTACTTATATTTTCTTTTAAGTATATAGTAAATGCTATCAAATCTCAAAGAATTCCTTTCTTTTTCCAACTCGCCTTTCTGTTGCATTGTTGTTATTCTATTATTCTACCACACCAGCCTTCAGTGGGTCCCTTTTTGATTAACTAACTACGTACCCATGTTTGTATACATAAATATACAGGTAGCTCACTTACAAAATATGTCCATGTATTGTTTTCAATAGAAAAATCAGAATTGTTGATGTCAAGTAATGGCTTCGTCAAATGGTTTTTGGGGAAAGGCTGTTTACGAATGGGATGTCAGTAGCTACATTGATGTCAGGGTGATTTTCATCCCTTCAACTGGCCAGCATTTTATTTTTTTTTTCCAGATGTATTTTAACATGATTTGGGTATCAGCTGCTCCAAAGTTAATCATCCCAGATTTTTTTAAAAAAAAAAAAAGATCTTAGATGCTTTATGAATCGGAACCTGAGCAGGAGAAGTTGGAAGTCTGTTCCTGCCTTCTTGGCCATAAACACAGATATCATCTGCTGTTCAAAAACAGAACTTGAGTAGACATGGTCTACTTGAAGTCAACCCTTCCCAAATCCTCCATCTTGCATCAAAAAGAGAATTTGAGTAAACATGGTCTACTTGAAGTCAACCCTTCCCAAATTCTCCATCTTGCATCAAAAAGAGAACTTGAATAAACATGGTCTACTTGAAGTCAACCCTTCCCAAATCCTCCATCTTGCATCAAAAAGAGAACTTGAGTAAACATGGTCTACTTGAAGTCAACCCTTCCCAAATTCTCCATCTTGCATCAAAAATAGAACTTGAGTAAACATGGTCTACTTGAAGTCAACCCTTCCCAAATTCTCCATCTTGCATCAAAAAGAGAACTTGAGTAAACATGGCCTACTTGAAGTTCATCCTTCCCAAATCCTCCATCTTGCATCAAAAGGAGAACTTGAGTAAACATGATCTACTTGAAGTCAACCCTTCCCAAATTCTCCATCTTGCATCAAAAAGAGAACTTGAGTAAACATGGTCTACTTGAAGTTCACCCTTCCCAAATCCTCCATCTTGCATCAAAAAGAGAACTTGAGTAAACATGGTCTACTTGAAGTCAACTCTTCCCAAATTCTCCCTCTTGCATCGAAAAGAGAACTTGAGTAAACATGATCTACTTGAAGTCAACCCTTCCCAAATCCTCCATCTTGCATCGAAAATAGAACTTTAGTAGATATAGTCTACTTGAAGTCCACTCTTCCCAAATCCTCCATCTTACATCAAGAACAAAAACTCCAGTAGGCATGGTCTACTTGAAGTCCATTCTTCCCAAATCCTCCAATCTTGCGTGAAAAAGAGAACTTGAGTAAGAATGGTCGACTTGACGTCCACCCTTCCCAAGTCCTCCGTCTGGCATCTTCAAGTGACTTGATCAACAAGCCTTAAGAAGCTCCTGATGAAACTGATGACATCCATATGTCAAGTCCAAAGAGCCTAGAAAAAAAAAATCTAGACTGGGGTTTCAAAACTTGTAGGAGAACTTAGGGACAAAAAAAAACTGCTATTCTAGACAAAGTAAATCTCATTTTCTTAAAGGGTGAGCTGATATTTCAAGCATCAGATTGAAGTGTAAACCCCCCCTCCCACCTCTTTCTGCTTCATTTTCTCCCTTCGTACAACGGGATTGGCCCGGGGGTGTCCAGAGAGCAAGTAAGAAAATCAAAGGCCTTCGGCATGCCTAAAATGGAGGCAGGGCTTTGACTGCACAGATGCCTTATCCCAGGGGTGTCAAACTCAAATTTCATTGAGGGCCGCATCAGCATTGCGGTTGCCCTCGGGGGGGGGCGGCCAGGGTGGGTGTGGCCTACTGGGTGGGCGTGGATGGAATGGGTGTGGCCTACTGGGTGGGCGTGGCCAGTTCTACATTGTTCGCGTCCAGGGGGCCTGTGGGGGCCTGGGCAGGAGTGGGACAGATCTGAGGGTCTCTGGCAGAAGGGGTGGGACCGGGGCAAGCGCCAAGGCACGGTGCATTTCTTCATTCCTCACAAAGGGTGACACCTCCCCAGCATGCACCCAAGGGGCAGGGCCAATGCGACGGGCTGGTTCCTCGCTGTTTCCAGACAGCCTTGTGGAGCTAAGACCGAATGCGTTTCAGCATAGATGGCCACCACAATATTGTACATGGGCTCCCGGCCGGCCAGGGCCAAGGCAGCGGGGGCCGTTCCCTCACTGTTTCCAGGATGGCTTCATGGGCTACATGAAACCACTTCGCAGGCCGCATCTGGCCCCCGGTCCTTGTCTTTGACATGTCTGCCTTATCCCCATAAATATCCCTATAAGTAGACAGTTTGTAAAACCCTTTAATTGTCTTAGGAGTTAGTTACACACAGGCTGCTTAACAATAAGAACATAACAGTTGCTGCATAGGAACCAATGGGGATTGATGTTTAGAGATTCAGGATGGGAGCGAATCAGATGAAGATTGACAGATAAAACATTTGAGGGCTTGAAATTACCGTCAGACACATTAGATAGCAATGCTACGAACTTAAGGTGTGCCAGGAGACATCCTAAACACGCGAGATTTGGCAGGAAAGGTTGCTTCCAGCATATTGGAAGCGTCCTCGTTTCAAAGTACAGTTCTGTGCTCAAGCTGAGCTTTTTCCTAGCTTCAAAGTGCCCTCGCAAATGCACAAGGCACACGGGTGTGTCTCCAAGTTGAAATAATTCAGAAGTAATCATCCCAGAGCATGCATGTCACAATATGGACCTTATTAAGAGAGGATAGGGCAGTGGTGGCGAACCTATGGCACGGGTGCCAGAGGCGGCACTCGGAGCCCTATGTGGGCACACGTGCCATTGTCCCAGCCTTGCCTCCCCCCACGATCCCCTCCTCTCCAGCAGCCCCCCTGAAGGAGACTCACCCTCGAGCGTGGCCCACACAGAGCAGCGCACCAAGGACATGGCAGCCAGGCAGCGTAGACAAGATTCTTCCCTCACACCCCATCATGCAGTTGATGCTGCAGGGCGCGGGCAGAGGGTGTGGCCACCATAGCGCTGCCTGGGTGATCTGCAGCAGGCCCTGGAGGCAGTGAGTGATCCTGTGGGCAGGCAGGGCTGGGGATGGGGGAGCAGAGCGGAGGCGGGCAGGGGGGTGGAGTGGGGGCGGGGCCAGTTTTGGGGCACTCGGTCTCTAAAAGGTTCGCCACCACTGGGATAGGGCTAAAGCCATTGATTCCACAGGCCGAGCTGAGATCTCAAGACTTCCATGGTTCCCTTCACCGGGAAGATAAAATCAAAAGTCCTTTGATAATGGTGCTTGCAGGAGAGGTGCCTGAAAAGAAGTGGGTGCAGCTACGCAGTTGAAGTCTGAGCCCTTTGGGGCACTGGTCTGCAGGAGACAGAAATGAAAAGGGAGGAGACTTCAGTTGTGAAGTCATGGCCACCACCTTGAGTTTGATGCATCTTTGCTTCATAAATAGCTCTCAGCTTATCGTGCAGTTTGACTTTCGGATCAAGAAGGAAAGAATGCTAGAGGATGAAAAAGATCAAGGAAATGAGCTCTGGATGAATTTGATTATGCGCTAGATTCTTTGCTTGAACGTCCTTCTGCCGCAGAAAATAAAAATTTATATTGTACTCCCTTTTGCTTAATGTGAGTAAAACACCCTTTTTACTAACCGCATTGAAGCTGAATAATAGCACCGGTCCTGGTCATACAAAGTGTTTTGTATTACTTTACCCGCCTATTCAGCTCTTTGACTTTTTTCAACTCTTTGTGGTAGAAATAAAACTTTTTTTTCCCCTCTTAAGATGTTTTGCAAGTTCTGATTCATTCATGTCGGGTTAAAATCAACTGGGAGACCTTCTGCTTGTTTTGGTCTCCTGTTTTGGCGTTCCATGCGTTTACAACAGTGGTTCTCAACCTGTGGGTCGGGACCCCATTTGGGGTCGAACGACCATTTCACGGGGGTTGCCAAACAACACAGTCCGCCATTTTTTCCCCCTTTTCCTTAGCTGTGCTACTCCCTTTTATTCTATTGGCTTTTGAAAGCCAATAGAATAGACTCTCTTGAATAGAGTCTAATTCTATTGGCTTTCAAAAGCCAATAGGAATTGTCCATGCTGTCTCTGCCCTGCTGAGCCCGCCAAAAGTCCCATTCTGCAAACGGTGTTGCACCAGTTGAGTAGTCCTCAACTTACGACCGGTTGGGGGTCGCGGCATTAAAAAGGTTGAGAACCACTGGTTTACAAGATCCTGTACAAAGAGAAAACTCGGCATTTCTGAGCGGAGTCATTCAGAAGATCGGTGACCAGCTTTCCAGGTTGTCTACCCCACACACACACACACACACTTTTGCAACAAGATGGATAGTCCAGTAATAAGAATTGGGTTCTATTGGTAAAGGCATCTTCAGAAATTGACATTCTGGGTTCCCCCAAATGGGAGTTGAAAGAAGAGAAATAAAATGACTCTAATAACCACGCCACACGGGGAGGGAAGGAAGGGGAGGGAAGGGAAAGGAGGGAAGAAGGAAGGAGGAGATGGGAAGGAAGGAAGAATGAAAAGGGAGGAAAGGAAAGAAGGGAATGGGAAGGAAGGAGGGAGACGGGAATGAGAAGGGGAAAGGAAGGAAATGAACAAAGGAAGGAGATGGGAGTGAGAAGGGGAAAGGGAATAAGAACAACGAAGAAGGGATAGCAAAATAAACAAAGGCGATGAGAAGGAAAGGAAGGAAATGAACAAAGAAAGGAAATGGGAGTGAAGAGGAAAGGGAATAAGAACAAGGAAAGGGAATAGGAAAATAAACAAAGGCGATGGGATTGAGAAGGGGAAAGGAAGGAAATGAACAAAGGAAGGAGATGGGAGTGAGAAGGGGAAAGGGAATGAGAACAAGGAAGGGAATAGGAAGGAAATGGAGATGGCAATGAAAAGGGGAAAGGAAATGGGAACAAAGGAATAAGGAAGGAAGGAAGGAAGGAAGGAAGGAAATAAATGAACAAAGGAGATGGGAATGAGAAAGGAAAACAAGGGGAACAAGGAAGGAGGGAGACAGCTGGTTAGCCAGCTGCAAAGACCAGGCCAGAGAAGGAAGCCACAGCTAGGGAACAAGTTCTGACAACCAGGCTGCCTGCAAGGAGGCGGGACCAAGGGCTCTCCTCACCATACACAGAACCATCTCTTGCAAGTGGGACCCATCAAAGAGAGCCAATGGATGCCTTCAATAGACCGAGACTCTTTCCTAAAATGAGGGTCCGTTGGGTACTTCTGCTTGGCTTGAAGACTCGACGAAATATTACATCCCACACCCATCAAGGTTTGTCTGTTACAGGTAGTCCTCAACGTACGACCACAATTGAGCCCGTTTCTGTCGTTAAGTGAGACATTTGTTAAGAAAGTTTTGCCCCCTTTTACGACCTTCCCTGCCACAGTGGTTAAGTGAATCACTGCAGTTGATTGGCTGTTAAGTGAATCTGGCTTCCCCCACTGATTTTTCTTGTTGGAAGGCCGCAGAAGGGGATCACGTGACCCCCCCCCCGGACACGGCAAGCGTCATTAAGTATGAACCAATTGTTCAAGCATCTGGAATTCTGATCACGCGAGCGCGGGGATGCCACTTTTTTCAGGGCCACTAAAGTCACTAAATGAACTGTTGTAAGTTGAGGACTACTAAAATAATTCTGGCCAGTGGTGGGATTCAAATATGTGAACAACCGGTTCTCTTGTGTGGATGCCGCTTCCAGAAGTCCATTCTGGGCCTGGGCAACAAAAAGTTAGCTACCAGTTCTGCTGAACTGGTGTGAACTGCCTGAATCCTACCACAAGAAGGAAGGAAGGAAGGAAGGAAGGAAGGAAGGAAGGAAGGAAGGAAGGAAGGAAGGAAGGAAGGAAGGAAGGAAGGAAGGAAGGAAGGAAGGAGTGGTGGGATTCAAATATGTCAACAACAACCGGTTCTCTTGTGTGGATGCCACTTCCGGAAGTCCATTCTGGGTCTGGGCAACAAAAAATTAGTTTCCGGTTCTGCCGAAGTGGTGCGAATTGGCTGAATCCCACCGCTGATCCTGATATATTGCTTTGGAATATTCCTTTCACCATCCTTTTTCTGCAATCACATTTTCCAACAGAGAAAAACGGCTCCAGCTAATCTGATCTAAAAAAAAAAAAAAAAAAAACAGATCTGCCTTCTCTTACAAGTTTTTTTTTTTTTTTTTTTTAAATAACCTGGTTCCTTTCTCTCTCCTCCCCATTTCAGCTTGATGAGTTGTTTTGAGAGAGCAAGTCAACTCTTACTCATAACATTCCTAGGGAACGTATGAATCACAACTGCTGTGTGGTACTTGGCAACCAGAATAGGACCGACAACACACAAAATATAGAATCTGACTCAGGGTCTCTGCAATCCATCCATTTTGTTCCAAAACCAGATTATAGAAGAGGGATTCAATCATAGCCTGGCCCTCTTCATACAGGATTTGGTGGCTTTTGGTGCAAAGAACTCATGGCAGAAATTTTTCCATGGATATTTAGAAAGTAAGAGTCTTTCTTACTTTTGTCACCAAAGTGGCATTCCTAAGTGCCTGCGTTATTTATTTACATGTCAACTCTTAAATGGGGACGAGGGGACACGTCCAAAGGACCTTGTCTCTGCAGCTGTCTGCATCTCAGAATAAAATTTGTACTTTTCCAAGTCATATAAGCAAAAAGCTGTAGAAGACTATTTTGAGTCCATTAGATACTATGTTGTGAGAATATGCTCTTATCGTGTCCATGGGACGCGTTGTGGTTTGGAAATTCTGGGCAGAAGTGAAACTTGGAACATCTTGGTGGCTTCAGGTTTTGGCCAGTTCTGGAGGGTTTTCATGGTCCAAGCAGAGCAAGTTTTATGCACTTGAAGTTCTCATCCACAAAGCCCATCCATTCATCTCTCTCCCAATCTTCCTATTTCCTCTTCCTTTCTCCTTACCTGCTACATCACCCCAACTCCAGGCATGTCCCTCAGCCTTAAGGCAATAATAGAATAATAAGGAATAGAATAGAATAGAATAGAATAGAATAGAATAGAATAGAATAGAATAGAATAGAATAGAATAGAATAGAATAGAATAGAATAGAATAGAATAGAATATGTGGCATGGAATGGAATAAAATAGAATATATGGAATGGAAGGGAAGGGAAGGGAAGGGAAGAGAGAAGAGAAGAGAAGAGAAGAGAAGAGAAGATGTGGAATAGAATAGAATAGAATAGAATAGAATAGAATAGAATAGAATAGAATAGAATAGAATATGTGGCATGGAATGGAATAAAATAGAATATATGGAATGGAAGGGAAGGGAAGGGAAGGGAAGAGAGAAGAGAAGAGAAGAGAAGAGAAGATGTGGAATAGAATAGAATAGAATAGAATAGAATAGAATAGAATAGAATAGAATAGAATAGAATAGAATAGAATAGAATAGAATATATGGAATGGAATAGAATGGAAGGGAAGGGAAGAGAGAAGAGAAGAGAAGAGAAGAGAAGAGAAGAGAAGAGAAGAGAAGAGAAGAGAAGAGAAGAGAAGATGTGGAATAGAATAGAATAGAATAGAATAGAATAGAATAGATGGAATGGAGTAGAGTAGAGTAGAGTAGAGTAGAGTAGAGTAGAATAGAGTAGAGTAGAGTAGAGTAGAGTAGAATAGAATAGAATAGAATAACAAAGTTGGAAGGGACCTTGGAGGTCTTCTAGTCCAACCCCCTGCTCAGTAGGAAACCCTATACCATTTCAGACAAATGGCTATCCAATCTCTTCTTGAAAACTTCCAGTGTTGGAGCATTCACAGCTTTTGGAGGCAGGTTGTTCCACTGGCTAATTGTTCTCACTGTCAGGAAATGTCACCTTAGTTCTAGGTTGCTTGACTCCCTCTTCTTTGTGGCAGCCCGAGATATTGGAAGACTGCTATCATGTCCCCCCTGGTCCTTATCTTCATTAAACTAGACATACCCAATTCCAGCATCCGTTCTTTACATGTTTTACCCTCCAGTCCCCTGATCATCTTTGTTGCTCTTCTCCACACTCTTCCTAGAGTCTCACCTGCTTCTCTCTCCATCTCCCAACACCTTCATTTGCTTCGTCTCCCTTCAGATGCTATCCTGTCCCACCTCTAAACACTTTCTCCTTTACCCATTGACCTCACTGCAGGAAACCCAACCAGAACATTTATGTTCTGGATCTGGACCCTATACTTGTCTGTGCCTGGATGAAACACAAGGTTTCTCAGAACCCCCCATTCAACGAATGGAGCGCTTTGCACATCCTTGTTGTGTTGTTTTTGATCATAGGATCAAACATAGCACGTTGTTTGGATTATTTGCATGTACTGTTAAGTTCCTGAGTGTGTTCTGTTGTGTAACTCTCAGCATTCTGCTATCATGACTTGCAGACAAATCGGGAACAACCTGCGTTTCTCTGAGTAGGAGTTCCTGTTTTGATTTGCATAAAAAATATATTGATATATAGTAGATCAACATATCTCTGCACATTGAATTTTCCCTCCATTTTTCTTCAAATGTCTTAAGTAGTTCTAGAATTAATTGAAGGGGTAGTGTACACACACACACATCAAAGTTACATATTGAGTTACTGAAAACGCATGAAAACTCCATTTGGACAAATACAGCTATGAAAAACAATCACATCGTGTTGTTACTGAGTTCTTAGCATGCATGAAACTTCATTTCAAAACCTGCTGCCCGTTACTTGAAGGTTATCAAATGTTGCATAGCCCTCCAGCTAGTGAGTCAGTTCCATATTTATATAAAGTCATGTGCATTTTCCCCATGACAAAGCTGCATTACAAAGCTCCCTACACATCAACGGAAAACATGTCACATTTCCTGACTGCCACTCCCCTCCATCTATAGTTTAAACTACTCAAGACCAGTTAGAAACTTTGTTTAAAAAAAAAACATTTATTGATGCACAAAAAAATTACTAAAAAAAAAATGACCTGAAATACAGTTATCAGATTTTAGTGAATGAAGTTACACAGAACTACACTAGTGGCCAAAATTATGGAAACCTTTTGGAAAAAGTGTACAATAGAAATGCCACACATCAAAAATGAAATTTAGTTGCCCGCTCTCAAGGTGAAACACATACATGACACACACCTAAACATACTATGAACAACATATGTATGCCACCTTTGATTAAGTTTCCACCAATTTTTCTTCCAATTTCTTTATAACTGTAGCCTTGTTCACCTAATAATACTATTTTACATTGCTTTCTGGGCGACCAGTCAACTCTTTGCACCATTCCTTTAATTTTATTACTTTTTGCAAGCTCACTAAATGAAAGAACACAGAAAAACCCCAACCAACTTGATAGCCATCCCATAACACACTGACCAATGTCCTCCTCTCAGCTTCAATACATGACATCAATAATTGAATCCTACTGTGATCTGATTGGCTCATGGCCAAAACAAGATGACACCCGATTGGCTCTCTAAAAACTCATGCTCATTGGCTACAATCAGATGAAGGAAAGCTACCTGAGATCAACCTAAGCAAGTTGTGCTTCCTTTTTCTGGTTATTTGGCTATAACTTTTCACAGAATACAGTACAAATAATTGAACAAACTTTGTTGCATGACATTCTTGATTAAATGATCTTTCCAGTGATATATAATTTTATGGTACTACTCAAAACAAAAGTGGTATTATTAGCCATCCAACCTCAAAAATACACTTTTCCCAAAAGGTTTCCACAATTTTGGCCACTTCTGTAGGCATTTGCAAAGTGCATCTTCAAAAGCATTGAGGAAAAAGGATTTTAGGACTCTGCACAAATGCAACTGCTCTTCTTTGATTACATTTCTAACATTTTCTAGACATATTTTTAAACAGGTTTGCTAATCTAACAGGTGGGAAATGCCATCTATAAAAACATTTTATGTAAGTTTTCTTTGTACGAAGTAGCCATTGTCAATTTGTAATTTCTTTCCCACCGATTTTGCCATTTCTCTCATTCTATGTCATGCTCAAAGTTTTTTGCCCAGATGATCATTGTTTCTTTCACTTTTTTGTCTTCCGTTTTTCAATTCAATAAAAAAAATCATATATTTTTAAATCCTTTTTTCATCAGAAGTCAACCACCCCTGATCTTTAAAAATCTAATAAATAAGCGTAATTCATTTTATTTTTCAGTAGGTTTTTATTTATTTAACACAGCAATACATATACTTCCACTGACCTCTTCATAGATAAACATCCCAATAAAATACCATAATGATATTTCATTTCATGTGCATTTATATAAACCACTTGGCTTAATTATGAGTCTTATATTACTCTCCCCAGACCCGTAGTAATAATAACTATTTACCTAACCAGAAAAAAACGATAGTAAAAATTAATATATCTGATTCTCTTCATAATGCACAACAGCTATTTTTTTAAAAAAAAAATAGTTACATTGTGATTTGATTCTTTGGATTAACATGATTTTGCATCTGAGCTTGCTTTTCTGGGTGTATTATATCCAAATAGTGCAAAACCTGTTTCTAGAGAGTAGAAGACACAATTTTATAATTAGACAAATTTTGCCAATAACCTGAGTGGGCTGCTGGTAGGGCCGTGTTTTTCTTTTAATTAAGGAAGCTAATTCCTTAATTCATAAATTACATTTATTTACAAAAGTTGTCTGCCTTCACTTGAACAGGCTCAGGAACCCAATGAACCAAAACGGTTATGAACACATTTTGAAAATTATTAAGGGAGTCCTTGTTGCATAGACCATACTGAGGAAGCTTTTTGAGACATTAAAAAGGTAAAAACCGATTATTGTATTGAGCAAGAGTGCAATGAATTTTAATCATGGTTCCAACTATAAATAAATGAGCATGGAGCAGAAATGTTCAGATCAGCACCAGTTAGCAGAGAATTCGGTTTCAACCCAATTTTACATATCTCAGAAATGAAACCAAAGCTCGTCAGAAAAGGAAATGTAACTACTATTGAAAAATTTCAGGAAACAAATTGTTTTTGATGAGATGAAACATTGGAAGTCTTTTTATCCAGATCCCATCTAAAATATTACAATCCCGTGAGCTGAATGAATGAGATTCAATGGAAGGGATACACTAACCATCACTAACATTGGTACCTGATTACATGCCAAAAACCTAATTAGCTATTCTTGCAAAAATCTTTGGATCAGCAATTCCAACGTTGAGGTCAACATTATCTTTATAGCACCAGCCGATCATTCAGAGAGTAAATTCCAAATCTTTGCATCCCCATCATTTTAGCCAAAGAAAAAGGAAATTAAAAGTAAAATATTGGAAAGTGATATTGGAAAGGAAAAGAGAGAGCGAGAGGCCGGCCCACGGTTTTCAGTGGCTAATTTGACAAGTATGATCATTTAAAAAATATATATATAGTTAAAAAAAAGACATGCTTTATCTTTTAAAAAAACAAGCATAAACATTCAATATGGTACGTTATCACAAATGGTAAGTCAAAGGCAAGAGTTCGTATTTGAATTTAATACTGTAAAATAGCATGAATTGGCTAAAATCCCTCATCGTTATAAAATTTTGCAATCCAGTACGTGGGGGAAAAGGGGGGGAAAAATTGGCTTTGTGGATGTAGAAAGCCACACGTTGTTGTGTGTGTGTGTCTCTCTCTCCAGATTTTCAGTTGCAACAACTAAAGTTTAAAACCCTATTAAAAACCGTATTTTATAAAGGGGAAAGGGACACGTTTTCCCATGGCACGTTCAGGGACATTTTTAATTATTTCATTCCTCGTGTCAGAGAGCAGATCCCGCTTGCAAAAACGGGCCTGCAATTCCACGCGAGCAATTTGCAAGAGGAATGGACTTCTCCAGTATCCAGCTGGCTTTTAGGCTTTACGGTATCACCTTACATCACAGTATAAAACTTCCGATCCATTATGTACTCGATACATTTTTTTTTCTTTTTCATAAAAACTGCATTTTAAAAAAAAACATACAAGATTTTTCAACACAAGAGGTTACGCAGCCGATTTGAAGAGGAAAACGGGGAAAAAAAATTTTCTGCAGATACCTTGACAATGGATGCTACTGTCAGGGGGTCTGTAGTTGGTGTGTTCCCCCCCCCCTTTTTTTTTGCATTACTGGAAGAAAAAGAAAATTACAAGGGTACATTGTGGCACATTGTGGACGCTAAAACATTATGCTGTAGAGTCTTATTAAAAAGGTTGGCACAGATTGCTACGCAAGAGGGAAAAAAGGGGAGGGGATTATGACGTCCTCTCTTCTCATCTCATCAATTTACCAGAATTTGGATGGATAAGAACCTCTTACGATCTCACCCCTCTGCGCCATCAGTTCTTGCGAACAGAAGCAAAAATTACTTCACACAAGGTGCGGTGTCCATCGCATACAGAAGCGGGATGCCAAAATAGGTCCCTTGCTGACCCTGTCACACATTGGAGTCCTCATCTGTGATGCTGGCACTGGGAGAACACGTGGCCAAGTCTCTAAACATGTCATCTTCTTTCAACATGTGCTGGAAAGGGAAGACGTGGGAGAATTAATTGGCAGATCAGACAAAACCCACTAGCCACCTAAGGCAGGAGTCCTCAATGTTGGCATCTTTTCAGACTTGTGGACTTCAGCTCCCAGAATTCCTCAGCCACGCACACACACAAATGGAGCCGTGAGCACGTGCGACGCAAACGGGGCGGTGCTAGCACCCGTGTGACACTTGTTAGCACCGTGCTGGTTTTGCCGCATGGACATTAGCATTGCCCATTTTCATGCTGTGCGGCGCCCGTTTTTTGCACTGCATGTCGCCTGGTTCCCCATTTTTCTACCGTGCGCCCCCCAGTTTTTGCACAGCACGCCACCTGTTTTCACACCGCGTGCTGCCCAGTTTTCCCCAATTTTGCGCCATGCGCCACCCAGTTTTCACACTGCATGCTGCACAGTTTTCATGCCGCACGCAGCCCAGTTTCCCCCCATTTTTGCGCTGTGTGGAGCCCGGGTTTTCGGCCGCCCGACGCCCACCGCCCAATTTTCCCCCATTTTTGCGCCGTGTGCTGCCCGTTTTTTGTGCCATGTGCTGCCATTTGCATAGCAGAGGTGCCCCATTTGCAGAGTGGTGGTGCCCTGTTTTCACCCCGCAGCGTCCCATTTGCATAGCAGCGGCGGCGTTAGCACGAGTTCTGTGACCCGGTGGCCAGTAGGCCACGACCCGGTAGTGAGCTGCAGACCACAGGTTGGGGACCCCTGAATTAAACAACGACTTACGGTCAAGTTGTTGATGCCTTCAGAAAATGCCCCAATCTGCCTCACAGTCCCTTCAGAATCTTCCATCTATATGGAAAGAAAAATAGTATGTGACCTTCATATAAATCCTGTATTATGTAACTGTATTTACTGTCAATGCTAAATTGGACACATGGGCTAGCTAGAGAGATGTTCCCTGAAGTTGGGTTATAGCACAAAGTCCGAAAGCTCGGACGACAAAACCTCTGGTTCCGATGACCGATCCAGATTGGATCCCTGGAGACATATTCTGGAAGCTTCAGGCAGGACTTGAGTAAGTCTGGGGAGCAATTTGAAGTAAAAGAGCTTTTCACGCATCTAAGGAGCTTTTCGTGCATCCATTAGAAGCTTCTTGGAAGAGAAGCTAAATGTTTTCCAGGAAAAGCAACCAAGAAAATCCAGCCTTTGGAAAAGCTTCTTTGGGACAACCATGGCCTGGATGGTTGAGAATCTCCATATAGACACAGAGGGGGATTGTCCAACATGAAAAAAATTTTTTTTAAAAATGTGCTAACTTCACAAAGTGTTGAACCGAGCCAATCTTGGGCAAGACTGTCAGATGGATACAATGGGGTAACTTCCAAAACATCACCCCTTAAGTTTCTTATAATCCTCAGAGGAAATGTAGGTACCCTAAGATGCTTTCGTTCGATCAGTGACTGCTGGAAGCTCCAGAATTGTGGCTATAGGACAGTGGTGGCGAACCTATGGCACGGGTGCCAGAGGCGGCACGCAGAGCCCTCTCTGTGGGCACATGTGCCGTTGCCCCAGCCTCGCCTCCCCCCACGACCCCCTCCTCACCAGCAGCCCCCCTGGAGGAGAGTCGCCCCCGAGAGTCGCCCACGCAGAGCAGTGCAGCCAAGGACATGGCAGCCAGGCAGCGTAGACAAGACTCTGCCCTCACGCCCCATCGCGCACAGTTGATGCTGTGGGGTGCGGGCAGAGGGTGTGGCCGCCATGGCACTGCTGGGCTGCCTGGGTGATCTGCGGCGGGCCCTGGAGGTGGTGAGCGGTCCTGCGGGCAGGCAGGGTGGAGGTGGGACCAGGGTAGGGGGTGAAGCGGGGGCGGGGCCAGTTTTGGGGCACTTGGTCTCTAAAAGGTTCGCCATCACTGCTATAGGAGTTAATCAGGTTGTATAAGACATAGTCAAGATACGGAAACTGAGCAACACAAGATGGGAAAGAGGCAAGACAGACACAGAGAGTGATGGACAGCCCATTAATCGTTCTGTTTTCAACTTAACTCTAAAGCAGTGGTTCTCAACCTTTTTAACACCGCGACCCCCAACCGGTCGTAAATCAAGGACTAAACCGGTCTTAAGTCGAGGACTAAACCGGTCTTAAGTCGAGGACTACCCAACCGGTCGTAAGTCGAGGACTTTCCCTGCCCGGGAGCGCCGCGCATGCGTGGTGCCGCCCCCTACGCCGGCCGAGCCATAGCTGGCAAGCGGCAGAGACAGAGCAGGCCAACCACCGGCTGGGCCACCAGCTGGCCCAGCCCAAGGAAGGTAAGGCACCCACCGGAAAAGGGGGAAAAAAATGGCGGACAGCCTTGCTTGACGACCCCCGTGAAATGGTCGATCGACCCCAAATGGGGTCATGACCCATAGGTTGAGAACCGCTGCTCTAAAGGGTGTCTGAAACATCACGACAGATACCTGTTCCAATCTGTCCAGATCGTCGTCATCGTACATTCTGACGTCTAAACCCGCCTTAAATCCTTTTTTGGATCCAGGTCCCGCCACCTGACCCAAGTCCATCGGGCACACATACTCTTCCCCGTCTTCTTGCTTCTTCTTTCTCAAATTTCCAAAGTTACTGAAGGGCAGTTTCTTTGGCTGAAAGAGAAATGGCCAGTGAAAGAGAAAGCCTTCAGTATGACCATAATTGAGCTCAAAAATGTATGCTGCTAATCGCTTATGTTTATGTTGTATAGGAGGAGCAGTTTTGTTTTGTTTTTTGAGATCATGCAGCAACTTTGGAAGGCAATCGTATGATCCCGGGGGGTGGCAAAACCACAACCTCACATTCCTGCATTCTCTGGAACACCTTATCCATTCACTTTTTAGCCCTGATTAGCAATAGCAAAAGCACTTAGACTTATGTACCGCTTCATAGTACTTTTACAGGCTCTCTCTAAGGGGTTTACAGAGTCAGCATCTTGTCCCCCAACAATCTGGGTCCTCATCTGGGTCCTGTCCATGGAAGGACGAAAGGCTGAGTCAACTTTGAGCTGGTCAGGATCGAACTGCTGGCAGTGTGAGTAGAGTTAGCCTGCAATACTGTACTCTAACACCTGTGCCACTAGAATAGAATAGAATAGAATAGAATAGAATAGAATAGAATAGAATAGAATAGAATAGAATAGAATAGAATAGAAATAAGAATAAATAGAATAAAATAGAATAGAATAGAATAGAAATAACAATAGAATAGAATAGAAATAAGAATAGAATAGAATAGAACAGAACAGAATAGAAATTAGAATAGAATAGAATAGAAATTAGAATAGAATAGAATATAGAATAGAAATGAATAGAATAGAAATAAGAATAGAATAGAATAGAAATAAGAATAAATAGAATAAAATAGAATAGAATAGAATAGAAATAAGAATAGAATAGAATAGAAATAAGAATAGAATAGAATAGAATAGAATAGAATAGAATAGAACAGAACAGAATAGAAATTAGAATAGAATAGAATAGAAATTAGAATAGAATAGAATAGAATAGAATAGAATAGAATAGAATAGAATAGAATAGAATAGAATAGAATAGAATAGAATAGAATGGAACGGAACGGAATGGAGAGGGAAGGAAGGAAGGAAGGAAGGAAGGAAGGAAGGAAGGAAGGAAGGAAGGAAGGAAGGAAGGAAGGAAGGGCAACAGCAATAGCACTTAGACTTATATACCACTTCACAGTGCTTTTACAGCCCTCTCTAAGCAGTTTACAGAATCAGCCTGTTGCCCCCAACAACCTGGGTCCTCATTTTACCGACCTCTGAAGGATGGAAGGCTGAGTCAACCTTGAGCCCCATCAGGATCAAACTCCTGGAATGAGCAGTGAATTACTGCAGAGATAAGCTAGAAACCAACATTCTTCTTCCAATACCTTCACTTTGGCAGTAGCTGTGAGAAGGACATAATCAGGAGCTTCCATGGCCTCGCATTTTTCTTGTTGAGCTTTGCTTCCAATCAGCAAATTAAAATGGGTGGCCAAGTGCCGTCTCAGCAGCGTCTTGTTTGGTGGGATGTTCAGCAGCTGTGCCAAGGTCTCTACGTTAAAACGAGGTTCCAGAACCTGCGGCCACAAAAAACGAGATTTTAAAACTTGTGCGTCCGGTACCTTTTCATCAACCACATGAATTTGCAAAACGCTCAAGATGAAAATCCTTCCGAACGTCTGGAAGATGCTAACCACTCAACTAAATAAAATCCAAGACATTGACTAAAGAAAAGATATCAAAATGGAATAATTACCATTAAGCCACCGTGAACACCGCTTCCTCTTAAATTAGGAGCGTATTCAGCCAGATCAACAGAACGCAACCATTCCATCACTCGATGGTTCGTCCACTGGGAAACTTCTGATGGGGTGATGTTATTCTGACAATCAAAAATACAACAAATTAAAACATTCACCCATCCATACACCACCCACCCACCTATCCATCCATCCATCCATCTACCCATCCATCCACCCACCCCCCCACCCATCCATCCACTCATCCATCCATCCACCCACCCATCCATCCACCCATCCGTCCGCCCATCCATCCACTCATCCATCCATCCATCCACCACTCATCCATCCACCCATTCACCCACCAACCCATCCACCCACCCATCCATCCACCCATCCGTCCGCCCATCTATCCATCCACCCATCCACTCATCCATCCATCCACCCACCCATCCACTCATCCATTCTCATCCATCCACCCACCCATCCACCCATTCACCCACCAACCCATCCACCCACCCATCCACTCATCCATTCTCATCCATCCACCCATCCACCCACCCATCCACCCATTCACCCACCAACCCATCCACCCATCCATCCATCCATCCATCCATCCACCCATCCGTCCGCCCTTCTATCCATCCACCCATCCACTCATCCGTCCATCCACCCACCCATCCACTCATCCATTCACTCATCCATCCATCCATCCACCACTCATCCATCCACCCATTCACCCACCAACCCATCCACCCACCCGCCCATCCATCCATCCATCCATCCATCCACTCATTCATCCATCCATCCATCCATCCATCCATTCTGCTTACATTACACCAAATTCTTTAAGACTCCTGGCAGATGGCAATTTTATATGTATTCTATGGAAGAAATGGCCTTAAAATTGCCTGCCCAAAAAAGTCATTATAATGAATGATGACCATGAATAAATACGACGTTTGAATATTAGTGGCGGCTACCTCATCAGATGGTCTCCTGCGAAGACAGTTGGGTTCAAAGTTGTTTATTCTGAGGACCTGGATGGCACGCTTGATGCTCAGATGGTGGAGGACGCTCAGAACTTTCAAGGATAACAAGTCATCCTGTTGAGGTGGGCGCCAAGAACAAACCAACAAAAAAGAACAAAGGCACAATCAGATATCAGAGGGGGAAGCTGCATTGATCTAGTACAGCGCTGCGGATGGTCCTCGACTTTCAACCGTTCATTTAGCAACCCTGTTTCAAGTTACGACCTCACTGAAAAAGGTGATTTATAACTGGTCCTCGTGTTTATGACTGCTGCAGTCACGTGATGAAAATTTGGTTACTTGACAACCCGCATGTATTTTAGAACCATTTGCAACCTTCCCAGACAGCTTCCAACAAGCAAGGCTAGTAGGGAAGCTTGATGTGCTTAAGGGCCGTGTGATTCGCTTAACAACCACTGTGGCAAAAAGGGTTGTAAAATCGGGTGTGACTCACTTAACATTCTCTTTGCTTAGCAACAAGTCGTACGTCGAGGGCTACCTGAAACCACATTGACTACGACAACTCAGAACACACGGAAAGTTGTCCTCAACTTACAACAGTTCATTTAGTGACCGTTCAAAATGACAACGGTGCCGAAAAAAGGGATTTATGACCGTTGTTTCACACTTACGACCGTTGCAGCAATCCCCACGGTCACATGATCAAAATTCAGGTGCTTGGCAACTGGTTCGTACTTATGACCGTTGCCGTGTCCCAGGGGGGTCACGTGATCCCCTTTTGCGACCTCCTGACAAGCAAAGTCAAGGGGGAAGCTGGATTCGCTTAACAACCGTGTTACTAATTTAACAACAGCAGTGGTCCACTTAACAATCATGGCAAAATGGCGTGAAACTCATCGGGCAACTGAGCAACAGAAATTGTGGGCTCAAAGTCGAGGACCATCCGTCAATGACACGACAATTAAGCTGCTTACAATGGTCATGTAATGAAGCATTCGGCCGTCCACCTTGCCTTCGTCAAATTGTGTCTTGTACTGGGGCAGCCCGATGTCATCCAGCCACCCTAGAAAGAGAAGGAAAACACACAAGTGTGGATTAAACTAATGAAACATCATGAGTGAACAATGCCTTCTGTGAGGAGTCCTTGGTGTTTTCTGAGCTCAGTGGTTTTCTTGCAGACATTTCATTACCCAGCTAGGTAACATCATCAGAGCTAGGAGGGAGCGGGGTCTGCTCTCAGTTTACATTCTAGTGGGTTGCCCTGTCAGTGATGGGGGGAATGGTCTCAGGGGTAGGCAACCTTGGCTCTTTTATGACTGGTGGACTTCAACTCCCAGAATTCCTGAGCCAGCATGGCTCAGCTTGGAAACCTCTCCCTTTCCCCTCAGCATGGCTGGCTCAGGAATTCTGGGAGTCCATGAGTCATAAAAGAGCCAAGGTTGCCTACCCCTGATCTTGTCGTCCCTTAATTGAGCTGTTTACTGTTAGCTGGTTTAGCAGTTCCTTGATTGGGGTATTGTTTACTTCTTGGTTATTGTTCTGATGTTAACCTTGGTATTAATCTGTGCTCATCTGGGTGCGTGGTCTTGTGTGCTGGCTGCATCCTGCGGATGGGGCTTTGCTTGTTTGTGCAGACTGGTTGCTGGCATGCCGTGGCCCGGTACCGGTCCACAGACTGGGGGGTTGGGGACCTATGTGCTAGAGAATTCCTGGAAACTTGGCAGTCTGACAAATTGGCCATCGATAGACACATAGAGATAAACAACATCTACATATTGTACATATCTCCCAAAATCCCCTCCCACCAATATTGACAAGGCAAGCCACTAGAACAGCGGTTGGCAGCCTTGGCCCTTTTATGACTTGTGGATTTCAACTCCCAGAATTCCTGAGTCAGCCATGCTGAGGGGAAAGGGAGAGGTTTCCAAGCTGAGCTGTGCTGGCTCAGGAATTCTGGGAGTTGAAGTCCACAAGTCATAAAAGAGCCAAGGTTGCCTACCCCTGACATAAATGGGCAGAAAACTCCATTCCTTTCTAGCATAGATAATCTTACCTAGTTACCAAGGTTACCTAGTTACCAAGGCTACCTAGTTACCAAGAAGATAGGATAAGCAGAGGTAGTCATAACAACCTTGGAAAGGACTTGATAGGTGGATTAAAAAGGCCAAATCCAGACTAAGCATCTAGCTGACTGTGCAAACAAGCTGACTTTCGATGTATACAAATATTCTCCTGATACAGTGAGGTGGGTACACCTGTAAATCCTCTCTAATCTTTTTAAAAAAGGGAAGGGAACGTACGTGTAACCCAATTATAGTCCAATTTTCCGTGGTTGTTTTCTTCTTCTGAACCCAAAGCCTGAAGTGCAAGTTGAAGCTTTTTCCGATGTAGCAGATGCTTTATTCCAAGTTCCTATAAACGGGGCACAAAATAATGACTTGTTATAAAGATTAATCTTTCGGTTCAAGGCTTCCTTTAAATGCAGGTGAGGGCAAGCTTGTGAAACAGATTCACAAATAGGACATTTCCAAGGCCCAAATGCTTGATTCAGAGAACCAAGGCTGTGCTATATCTCGTTATCATTCCCCCGCTATAAAACTGTTGGAGTTTATTAGCAATTTCTTTTATTGCTTTGCTCTCTTTTGCAATCAAGCAAACCCTAGACGCTTAGGCACAGTAGAAACATATAAACAACTCAAAATGAAGCGAGGCAAGAATATCAGCTGCTCCAGAAGCAAAATAAATACAGAACAGAACAGAACAGAATAGAATAGAACAGAATAGTACACAATGCAGAATATAGTAGAATAGAATGTAGAATGAGAATAGAACAGAATGTAGAATAGAATAGAGTAGAATGCAGAATAGAGCAGAATAGAATGTAGAATAGAATAGAATGTAGAATAGAATAAGGAATAGAACAGAACAGAACAGAATAACAGAGTTGGAAGGGACCTTGGAGGTCATCTAGTCCAACTCCCTGCTTAGGCAGGAAACCCTATACCGTTTCAGACAAATGGTTGTCCAATCTCGTCTTAAAAACTTCCAGTGATGGAGCATTTACAGCTTCTGGAGGCAGGTTGTTCCACTGGTTAATAGGTCTAACTCTCAGGAAGTTTCTCCTTAGTTTGAGGTTGCTTCTCTCCTTGGTTAGTTTTCATCTGTTGCTTCTTATCCTGCCTTCAGGTGCTTTGGAAAATAAGTAGACCCCCCCTTTTCTTTATGGCAGCCCCTCCAATATTGGAAGACTGCTATCATGTCACCCCTAGTTCTTCTTTTCACTAGACTAGCCAGACCCAATTCCTGCAATCGCTCTTCATATGTTTTAATCTCCAGGCCTTTAATAATCCTAGTTGCTCTTCTCTGCACTCTTTCCAGAGTCTCAACCTCTTTTTTATAATAAATCAATTGCACAACATATGCATTTGTTCTCTGTTACCGGCACTGAACTGCAGATTAGAGAATTCTTCGTTGACATGCAAAGACTAACATGCAAACTCCAAATAGTATGGGGGCATATTACACCAAGCAACAAAAACTGTAATATAACACCACAGGCAGGAGCAGCGGCAGTTGAACACAATTCTCTATGGAGATCACAATCAACCTGTCAGCTAGGAGAAGAAAAACAGGTTTGCTGTTCTGAACTCAAATCCTCAGGCAAAGTTAATATAAAAGGAACAGCAAGGCCATTATAGATGGTTTTAATACATTCAAGGAAATTGCCACCCACACTGTATTTTGCGTAAAGTGGGAAAAAAATAAATACTTCCCTTCTGATTGACTGCAAGGTTGCTCTCTGCATTTAAAGAAGTCAGGGCTAAAATTTTTTCCATTAATAACATTAGTGAAACATATTTTTCCATCTCTCTGCAGAAAAGGCTGCAGCTCCTTAAAATTGAAAAGTACGCAGCTGTGTTCTCCTGCAGCTAACACAGCCTGGGCAACAAAAAAATAGCTACCGGTTCTGCTGAACTGGTGTCAACCAGCTGAATCCCACCACTGCATACATACGTACGTAGGTCTTTGGTTATTCGGGTTTTCTCCCACGTAAAATTGGAAGTGTCTTGGCGACGTTTCGACGAAGTCCCATTCGTCATCTTCAGGCTGGTGTTTTCAGCTTCGTGCTTCAAGGAGAAGCACGAAGCTGAAAACACCAGCCTGAAGATGACGAATGGGACTTCGTCGAAACGTCGCCAAGACACTTCCAATTTTATGCGGGAGAAAACCCGAATAACCAAAGACATACATACAAACACCCGTGAAAACCTCAGAAAACAAATACATACATACATACATACATACATACATACATACATACATACATCTTATGGACACAAGATGGCAGCCTTTGTTATGCTATCCAGATAGTAGATGAATTGCTACTTAGCTGAACTTCATTACAACTCTCAAGTCACCAAGAGAAGAGAATATTTATAGCTCAGGGTTGAACTGTGGGGTCCTTGGTGCTCTCTGAGGTTGGCGGATTCCTTGCAGGCATTTCATGACCTGATCAGCCCTGATGATGTTACCTAGGCGGGTTATAAAACGTCTGCAAGAAAACAACCCAGCCAAGAGAGCACCAGGGACTCCACAACTCTCAAGTCAACTGCATATGGAAAAAAAAATAATAAGTTTGTTACCTTCTCTAAATCGGTCTGAGATGCTTGCAAAAGGGTTTGACCAGACAGTATCCAGTGTTTTCCATTGCCGATGTAAAAACCCAGGCCCTGATCGTGTAGCCAGTTACAAACTTGTTCTTTCGTCCATTTAGCAAATGGCATGTCCAAATCACTAAAGAATAATGGCAAGTAGACATTGTTTCAAGATTGGATCCCTATAAACAAGCTGAAACTATAATATGGAATAAAATGGACTACATTGTTTATATGATATTAGAAGAGGGGGAAGAGAATTTTGATCAGATTGACTTGTTGACTCAAATACCGAGATTTGATGACATTAATGTGATATTACGAAAGCCAGCTTGGTATAGAAGAAAGGCCAGAGTTAGATTTAAGAATGTGATGTAAAATTTTAATTATTGGGTCAATTCCACAATTATTTTTATTGGGTGTTATTATAGATTGTGAGGCCAAAGAAAACTTGATGTTGAATTTGATAATAGCTGCAAGGTTATTAGTAGGGCAATATTGGAAGAAGGATTGTTTGCTTACTATAGAAGCATGGATGCTTAAAGTGTTAAATTTAGCAGAAATGGCTAAGATTTCTGTTTATTTGATGGATCACTTACAGGAAAGATACATTTTGGTTTGGAGAAGATGGATAGATTGTATTCAGAATAGATATGGGATTAAAAGGTTATATTTAGCTTATGAGTGAATTTTAGAGTATTATTATTATTAATAGTTTATTATAGTGGAACTTTTTTTATTATATTAACTTGTTTATGTTTTTATTATTATTATGTTTATTTTCAATTTGGTTACAATTATGTTATTAGTATTATTTAACAATTTGGAGATTGTATTGTTCAATAATTAGGATATCAACTTGTTTATGTTTTATTATTATTATGTTTATTTTCAATTTGTTTATATTTATGTTAAAGGGGAGTTAAAGCGCATTATGGACTTGGTTATTTATATAGTTGGTTAATGTTAGTTAGTATGATTATCGTATTTGTAACCCTATACTCAGCTCTGGGAAGTGGGGGAGGGAGAGGGGGGGTTTGGGTGGGTTGATTTTGGTTTATATTGTAATTTTTATAAAACTTTTTAATAAAAAAAAAAAAGATTGGATCCTTATGTCCTTTGAGACCTGCTAATGGTGGATCTTCCAGATGTGGTCCAAGGTCCCTTCCACCAGTCCCACCACCTAGGAAATCCCGTGAGATATCTATTGATTGTATGTGAAGACCATTTTTCTAATTGGGGTTAGACCAGGGCTTCTCAACCTTAGCAAGTTTAAGAGCCATGGACTTCAACTCCCAGAATTCCCACTGGCTTTTTTTTTTATTTTCGGTTCTAATTGTATTCATTTATCTAGTCCAGTGGTTCTCAACCTGTGGGTCGGGACCCCATTTGGGGTCGAACGACCATTTCACAGGGGTCGCCAAACAACACAGTCCGCCATTTTTCCCCCCTTTTCCTTAGCTGTGCTACTCCCTTTTACTCTATTGGCTTTGGAAAGCCAATAGAACAGACTCTCTTGAATAGAGTCTAATTCGATTGGCTTTCAAAAGCCAATAGGAATTGTCCAGGCTGTCTCTGCCCTGCTGAGCCCGCCAAAAGTCCCATTCTGCAAACGGTGCTGCACCAGTTGAGTAGTCCTCGACTTACGACCGGTTGAGTAGACCTCGGCTTACGACCGGTTGGGGGTCGCGGCATTAAAAAGGTTGAGAACCACTGATCTAGACTGCCCACCTATAAAAGCTCTTGAAAAATGCTTGGAGATAAATCAACAGTTAAGCACAGTAAATCCCCCAGGAGTGACTGGCTAGAATGAACTTTTCTGGAATAGAACATAGCTCATAATCTTTCAACCATCCCCAGAAGTGCAGAGTGGCACATTGGAGGGAAAAAAAATATAACAGGGTTTGAAGCATTGTTTACATACAAACAACTCCTCACTAAGCTATTTTAGCTATATTTTTCACTTGTTTAATCATTAGAATTATCATTTCCTTTAGAGGGGGATATTTGCGGCTCAGAGTTGAAATGAGAGGTCCTTGGTGCTCTCTGAGCTTGGTGGTTTTCTTGCAGATGTTTCATTACCCAACTAGGTAACGTCATCAGTGCTAGAAGGGAGAGGGGTGGGAGGAGGAGGAGGAGGAGGAGGAGGAGGAGGACAACTGTGGGGTCCGTGGTACTCTCAGAGTGTGGTAGTTTTCTTGCAGATGTTTCATGACCCAATTAGGTAACATTATCAGTGCTAGAAGGGAGAGGTGTGTGGTGGTGGTGGTGGTGAGGAGGAGGAGGAGGAGGAGGAGAACTGTAGGGTCCTTGGTGCTTTCTGAGCTTGGCGGTTTTCTTGCAGATGTTTCATTACCCAACTAGGTAACATCATCAGTGCTAGAAGGGAATGGAGTTATATCAGCACTGATGATGTTACCTAGTTTGATAATGAAACATCTGCAAGAAAACAGCCAAGCTCAGAGGGCACCCAGGACCCTTCCCTTCCACTCTGAGCTCGCCCAAGGACCCCTCTTATCCTACTCTTTATCCTAATAATGGCCCAACTCTAAATATCCCAACTTTTTATCAGTATCCATAAAATCACTTCATTTTATTTCCACCCAGCTGCCCTCAAGAATAACAATAAGGAAAAAAGGAGAAAAGAAACAATTTGTATGTCGTTTCAAGGCTTCCCTCTTACTTATTGGATTGTCCAAGATCTCTTGACCAGCCTAGCCTGGGACCGGCCGTCGCTCTCGTTCCTCCTCTTTTGAACTCGGTTTCCGTCATATCATCAGGATTAAACGTGGTAGATTGGCTTCTCCTTAGCCTGAGGAAAAATCCAAATTTGAAGAACGAGAGGAATTAGGAGATTGGGGAGACATCACAGATAGCAATACCTAGCCTGTAACCTATAACCTCATAAAGGTGCTTTTTTTCATGAGGCAACTGGATTTTCTTGTTTTCTCTTTGAAGACGTTTCGCTTCGCATCCAAGAAGCTTCTTCAGCTCTGATGGGATGGTGGGGAGTGGAAGGATTTATACTCTTTGCAGACAGCTGGTCATTTGCATTCTTTTAGAGAGTCACTGAGGCCACTTGGAGGTTTGTCTGTGGTCCTCAGGGTCACCTGAGTCGTGCAAATGAGTGTGGAGCCTTCTTGGAACTGCTGAGAGAACTGTGTTGTACACTGGAGATAGAGGATGGGCTGTGTTGTAGACTGGAGATAGATGATGGGCTGTGTTGTGGACTGGAGATAGATGATGGGCTGTGTTGTAGACTGGAGATAGATGATGGGCTGTGTTGTAGACTGGAGATAGAGGATGAACTATGTTGTAGACTGGAGACAGAGGATGGCCTGTGCTGTAGACTGGAGATAGATGATGGGCTGTGTTGTAGACTGAAGACAGATGATGGGCTGTGTTGTAGAATGGAAATAGATGATGGCCTGCGCTGTGGATTGGAGATAGATGACGGGCTGTGTTGTAGACTGGAGATAGATGATGGACTGTGTGGTAGACTGGAGATAGAGGATGGACTGTGTGGTAGACTGGAGATAAATGATGGACTGTGGTGTAGACTGGAGATAGATAATGTCGTATCCCTCCCCCTATATTGAGAGAGGGCTGTTCAACATAGAAGAACAAACCCATCAGGACAAGATTCAGCAAGAAAGTCCAGTTGACTCTTGAAAAAAGCACCTTTGGGACAACCATGACCTGGATGAGTCAGAACCTTCATAGACATCTAACCTCATAAAGCACAGAAAATTCAGACTGGGTTGCTATTTCAATGAAAGACCATCATTGTTGTTTTTAACCATTTAGTCATGTCTAACTCTTTGTGACTTTACAGGCAAATGCTCTCCATGCTACCCTGTCAAGCGGAGCTTTCTTCAATTGTCATATGTTCAACTTTGCCTCAGATTTGATGTTATCAAGTCAATGTGTTCTTTCCGTGTCCCTTTTTCTTGTTCCACTAACCCAGGGGTAGGCAATCTTGGCTTTTTTATGACTTGTGGACTTCAACTCCCAGAATTCCTGAGCCAGCATGGCTCAGCTTGGAAACCTCTCCTTTCCCCTCAGCGTGGCTGGCTCAGGAATTCTGGGAGTTGAAGTCCACGAGTCATAAAAGAGCCCAGGTTGCCTACCCTTGCACTAACCATTCCTAGCATCATGGACTTCTCTAATGAATTTGCACGCATGATATGGCCGAAGTAAATCAGACGTAGTCTTGTGATTTTAGCCTCTAGTGATGTTTCTGGTTTTATTTAATTTAACACCTCTGTTGTTAGTTAGTCTGGCTCCACATGGTATACACACAGTAATTTACACCAGCATCCCAGTTCAAAGGTATCAATTCTACTTCGGTCAGCCATTCTTAGTATCCAGCTTTCACACCCATACATCATTATAGGGAAGACTGTTTTTGAGACAGCTGAAAAAACTGACTTAGGACCGTTTTTCACACTTAATGCCAGTTGCAAACTCTCCATGGTCACGTGATCAAAATTCAAAACCGACACTTGGGCAACGGATTCCTATTTATGACGGTTGCAATGTACCGAGGCCTCGTAACCCCGTTTTGCGACCTCCCAACAAGCAAAGTCAGTGGGGGAAAGCCAGATTCGCTTAACAACCCTGTTACTAACTTGCCCACTGCAGTGATTCACTTAACAACTGTGGCAAGGAAGGTCGCAAAATGAGGCAAAACTCACTTAACTTAGCAGTGGAATTTGGCAGCTCAGTTGTGGTCTTGAGTCGAGGACTAATTTGTGATCTGGGGACCCACTCGCCATCTCTTGACCCCAAAGCCCCTAGCACAGAGGTAGGCAACCTTGGCTCTTTTATGACTTGTGGACTTCAACTCCCAGAATTCCTGAGCCAGCCATGCTGAGGGGAAAGGGAGAGGTTTCCAAGCTGAGCCATGCTGGCTCAGGAATTCTGGGAGTTGAAGTCCACGAGTCATAAAAGAACCAAGGTTGCCTACCCCTGCCCTAGCAGTCCACGAGTCATAAAGCAGCGTAGGCCTAGGCCAGAGGTAGGCAACCTTGGCTCTTTTATGATTCGTGGACTTCAACTCCCAGAATCCCTGAGCCAGCCAGGCTGAGGGGAAAGGGAGAGGTTTCCAAGCTGAGCCGTGCTGGCTCAGGAATTCTGGGAGTTGAAGTTCATGAGTCAGAAAGCGGCCTAAGCCTAGGCCAGAGGTAGGCAACCTTGGCTCTTTTATGATTCGTGGACTTCAACTTCCAGAATTCCTGAGCCAGCCACGCTGAGGGGAAAGGGAGGTTTCTAAGCTGAGCCATACTGGCTCAGGAATTCTGGGAGTTGAAGTCCACGAGTCATAAAAGAGCCAAGGTGGCCTACCCCTGCCCTAGCAGTACATGAAAGGAATGGCTGGTTAACTCCATCCAGGCTCATGTTTTGTAGAATTACATTCTAGTTACCTGCCGAACAGCTTCTTGATTCCTCTCGCTTTCTTCTTGGAGTCAGGAGAAGGTGGCGTCAGAGGTCCACCTTCTGCCCCTTTTGGTTGACAAGGGAAGCCAGCTAGATCTAGGTGATCGGGAGATTCTTTCTCAGTCTCTGCTATTAAATAAAAGCAAGTCTCCATTAGTCTGTCACATTGGGCCTCAAGTGTCTTTCCTGAACTGGAGAGAAGATAACCTTTATCAAAGGCCAGTTCTGTCATAGCAAGTGAACCGTAATAAAGGAAGACATTTACCGTGTCTTCCTTTTAAGGAAGTAATTAACCATTCGATTTTCAAAGCCTTAGAAAAGATTATCTGTATTACGTCCCACTTTTTTTCCCATTTCTCTTTTATTATCCAGGTATGTAGTAAATAGAGCGTGTAGTAGCAAACTTGGGGCAGGACGGCGTAGAACCTGTTATTCATAGTGTTGATGGTGATCGTCTCTTTGATGAACGTCCAGAGATATCAAGAATAAAGTTAATGTACATAGGCCCTGAACGGTCTCGGTCTTCAAGTCAATTGCTTAACCCTACATTGTGTCAAAAAAAGACTGTCCTTTTTTTGCAACCATTTATCCTCTGCTTATTTTGAATAATCACTGTGGTATAAACAAACGAAGACTGTAAGAAGTACATTTTTTTCCAGCTACACAATGTTGGTTACAATGGGCAATTTTGGATAACTGGTTGAAGCAGAATGATCAGTTACATTATTTGCCCTTCCTTTCCCTCCTTCCTTCCTTTCTCCCTCTTTCCCTCCCTCCCTCTCCTTTCCTTCTTTCTCTCCTTCCTCCCTCCTTTCCTCCCTCCCTCCTTCCCTTCCTATCTTTCTTTATTTTCTTTCTTTTTCTTTCTTTTCTTTCTTTATCGTTCCTTTCCATCTTTTTTCCTTCCTCCTTTCCTTTCCCTTTTCTATCTTTCCTTTCCTTTCTCTGCCATTCTAAAGGATCTGTCTCAGAGACCTACAAAATGTCGGAAATACTTTGCGAACCTCCAACATGTACCATTGCTAAGTAAAGAAAAAAGCTCAGACAAATGTTTGTCATGACTTCGTAAGGCATTGGCCTGACCCACCATACAGAAAGGACACTTCATACAAGACATGCCAAGTGAATTCTTCACAACTACCATGCAAGCATCAAATCAGGAAACACATTCAGGCATTTCACGAACAGCCCAAAGCAACAATGGTTAGCTTGGAAAGGAAGCAAGCAAATAGTCATTCTTTGTAGGGCATGGTGGATAAGATGGAATTCAAACGATGATCCCTGAACTAGCTCAGAGTCTTCATTCAGTTTAATCTACTTGGAGTAGGAGTAAAAGCCTCCTTTGATGTAACCTAGGCTGAATGCTTTACAGGTAGTCCTTGACTTACGACCACAATTAAGCCCTACATTTCTGTGAGACAGTTATTGAGTTTTGCCCAATTTTACATCCTTTCTTGCCCCAGTTGTTAAGTGAATCACTGCAGTTGTGACTGTAAACACAACTGTTAAGTACATCGGCCTTCCCCATTGATGTTACTTGTCAGTAGGTCGCAAAAGAGGGATCATGTGACCCTGGGACACTGCGACCATCATAAATATGAGTCGGTTGCCAAGTGTCTGATTTTTGATCACATGACCAGGGGGATGCTGCAACGGTCGTAAGTGTGAAACATGGGCGTAAGTCTCCTTTTTCAGTGCCGTTGTAACTTCAAATGGTCACTAAATGTAACTCAAGGATTGCCTGTATCAGCAATAGAAAAGTATAAAGATTCAACATAAAAATGTTACCAATCTTGTTGTGTTCTACTTTGGATTATGTATGTATGTATGTATGTATGTATGTATGTCTTTGGTTATTCGGGTTTTCTCCCGCGTAAAATTGGAAGTGTCTTGGCGACGTTTCGACGAAGTCCCATTCGTCATCTTCAGGCTGGTGTTTCCGGCTTCGTGCTTCTAGGAGCAATGAAGCACAAAGCCGAAAACACCAGCCTGAAGATGACGAATGGGACTTCGTCGAAACGTCGCCAAGACACTTCCAATTTTACGCAGGAGAAAATCCGAATAACCAAAGACCTACATACAAACACCTGCGAAAACCTCAGAAAACAAATATATACATACATATTTACATACATACATACATACAGCAAACCCATTGCTGGGACTAATTATTTGAAAGGTTATTGCAATTCTTTTTTTATTCCCCCCACTTAAAACTGTCTTAAATGGAAATAATTTGTAGGGACATAATAGAAGATGGACTTATGAAGCAACTGATTATGCCAAGAAGGACCTTTTCCAGAAATACATTTTGTCCCTGCTGCATGAATATTACATCTGAAAAAACCCAACTCTTTGCCTTTACAGATTTGTGTAGAATATTTTGAAGTCAGAATAAGATCTGAAATGCTCTTCTAACATTCCTGGAAAGACTCTGAATTTGAAAGAATCATCAGAACGGTGTCTATGGAGATGGTTATCCCAGCGGTGTTTTTTTTACAAAAGGGAACTTTTGTAAAAAAGGGACTTTCTTGAGGTTTTTTTTGGAAGACATTTTGCTTCTCATCCAAGAAGCTTCTTCAGTTCCAATAAAGTCCATTGGCTTTTGGAAAAAGCACCTTTGGGTCATCAGAAAAGTCCACATCAAGATCAGAATTTGTGAGTTGGCTTCACTAGTATGTTAATGTTGGTAGGAGTGATAACGTCAAGTTGGCTTCTCCATGTTTTGAAACTAAGCAAAGTCATAATTAGGAACTAGAAGCAAGACCATAAAGAACATTGGGACTATAGTTAGACTGGAAAGCTCTCAAAATATCCAATAAAAAGCTAGCAATATCATATAGCTTCATTCTTCAATCATGAGGAATCAACTTTGATTCAAAGGAGATTTACTAGCGCTGATGCCTGCAACTCCATTAATTTATTTCCAATTTGTCTGTGATGGCGAACCTTTTAGAGACCGAGTGCCCAAACTGCAACCCAACACCCACTTATGCATCATCGGGTGCCGGGTGGCTGTGGCCCATTGGGTGGGTGTGGTCCACTGGGTGAGTGTGGCTGTGGTGGTAACAGCAGACTGGGTGGGACTAAAAAGTTCAATCAACTCCAACTTTGCAAGATCTTTTTTTTTCCCGCGAGAAGTTGAAATTGACTGATTGATTGAACCTTTTTTTTTTGTACATGGCGGCGGAGGCCTAAAGCAAAAAAAGTTTTATAAAACCCAGCTGAAGGCCTAGGACTGGGGCGACGGTGCGCGTGCCCACAGAGAGGGCTCTGAGTGCCACCTCTGGCACCCGTGCCATAGGTTCGCCAACACTGGTCTAAGGTAACCAAGATTAACAATAACACGAGCTATTGTTGTTGTTGTTAGTTGCAAAATCATGTCTGACCCATCATGACCCCATGGACAATCCTGTCCTCTATCATCTTCTGGAGTCCATTTAAGCTCATGCCTACTGCTTCAGTGACTCCATCCAGCCACCTCATTCTCTGTCGTCCCCTTCTTCTATTGCCCTCCATCTTTCCCAGCATTAGGCTCTTCTCCAGTGAGTCCTTCCTTCTCATTAGGTGGCCAAAGTACTTGAGTTTCAACTTCAGGATCTGGCCTTCTAAAGAGCAGTCGGGGTTGATCTCCTCTAGGACTGACCGGTTTGAACGCCTTGCAGTCCAAGGGACTCGCAGGAGTCTTCTCCAGCACCATAGTTCAAAGGCCTCAATTCTTTGGCGCTCAGCCTTTCTTATGGTCCAACTTTCACAGCCATACATTGCCACTGGGAAAACCATGGCCTTGACTATACGCACTTTTGTTGGCAGGGTGATGTCTCTGCTTTTTAGTATGCTGTCTAGATTTGCCATAGCTTTCTTCCCCAGGAGCAAGCGTCTTTTAATTTCTTGGCTGCAGTCCCCATCTACCGTGATCTTGGAGCCCGGGATGTTTTTTTTTTTTTCCCCTAAAAAGGCAACTGGACTTTCTTGGTGTTTTTCTTTGAAAACATTTCACTTCTTTCATCCAAAGCTGAAGAAACTTCTTGGGATGAGAAATGAAATGTTTTCAAAGAAAAAAAAATCAAGAGAGTCCACTTGCCTTTTGAAAAAGAAAAGACCTGGATGATTGAGCATCTCCACAGACACCATTCTGATGACTCTTTCAAATCCAGAGTCTTTCCAGGGACTTGAGCATTCCAGACGTCAGGATCTTCTGACTTCAAAATATTCTGCACCAGTCTGTACAGAATCTCCGTAGACATAAGCTATTAGTAAAATGAGTGGGAGAGTTAAACGACAAGGGGATGGATGGAGGTTCTAGGCCAGGAGAAGACGGGGTCAAGGGCCATGCATGACTGATGGCTCAGCGTTAGCGGCTCTCGAAACGTGACACAGGTAAGGCATGCGTGTTCTACTATACCTAAGATGGGAGCACTGGCGCTTCGGCTGCGATCTTCAAGCATCCGAAGAATGCATATAACCAGATGCACAAGAATATATCAAGGGCAACAAGATAAGACATATAAAAATTTAACACCTTCAAGACAGGGGGTAACAATACCAAAAAAGAAAAAAAAAAGACCCAATGCATGCTCGACACAGAGAACTAGTGGATTATATCAGAACGCTCAAACATTCACTTACTCACACCAAGCAAGACAACTGCTGTTACTACTTAAAGACATTTATGTGGCTTTATAGTGAGTAGGGTCTCTTAAATAAGGTAGTTCTCGACATACATGGTTGTTAAGTGAACACAGCGGTCATTAAGCAAAACCATGCTTTGCTCTGGGTGTGGTTTTGAGGTAAAAAAACATGAAATAAGAGCCAGCTTTTGGCGAAACCCATCGTAAACAAAAGTCACAAGATCACGGGAGGCTGCAACTACGTAAATGTGGTTGTGTTGCTGAGCACTTGAAGTTCAGTCATGTAGTTGCAGAGAGGTTGGCTAGACTCTGCTTATGACTACGTGATTCTAGGCTGTCCAGTCATGTATGATTCTAGAGCTGAGGTTGGCTTTTCTGCTACCCCCTCGTAGGGATTCTAAGGCTTTCTCATCACTTCCAATTTGCCTGGTTCTTCCTACCTATCTCTGTTACTTGTGTCAATGATTCTAGCATATATATATATATGTGTATGTATCTATATATATATATATATATATATATATATATACATACACACATACATACATACATACATACACACACACACACACACACACTTGGGAGTCCAAGTATATTTATGTATGTATGTATGTATGTATGTGTACTTTTTTCTATAGTAGAAAGATGTCGTGACCCACAGCTATTGGCCTAAACCAGTGATGCAGTGCCCAAACTGCAACCCAAAACCCACTTATGCACCATTCGGTGCCGGGTGGGTGTGGCCCATTGGGTGGGTGTGGCCCATTGGGTGGGCGTGGCTGTGGTGGTAACAGCAGACTGGGTGGGACTAAAAAGTTCAATCAATCAATTCCAACTTTGCAAGATCTTTTTTTTTTCCCGCGAGAAGTTGAAATTGACTGATTGAACCTTTTTTTTTTTTTGCACACGGCGGCGGAGGCCTAAAGCGAAAAGGTTTTATAAAACCCAGCTGAAGGCCTAGGACTGGGGCAACGGCGTGCGTGCCCACAGAGAGGGCTCTGAGTGCCGCCTCTGGCACCCATGCCATAGGTTCGCCAACACTGGCCTAAACACACAGGCGTGAAGACCTATCCTCACACAGCAAAGTTCACCTTAAGTACCTAAAACCAATTAATTACTAAAATTAATCACCAAACACAATGTGCGTTACCTGTTATTTGGCCATAATTTCCCAGAAACCCAAGGATCCACAGTAGTCAGAATTTTGTGGATACCAAATGAAATATTTGGTGTGATTTGCTTTAGCTACCCAATGCCTCTTTCTGCATTTTGCAAATGGAAAATACCGTAATCCGAGTGGAGTATTTCATCTCCTTCCGCCTATTAGGTACAGGCATTTAAAAGTTGAATGCTACTGGACCTACCCAAGTTAGGAGCGCTTGCCGTTCTTTTGTTACTTTTGATCTTGAAGAAGCCTCGGCCGAAGGAAGACCTGGCTTTGCGAGACCCAAAAGCGTCTTCTTCAGCCGGAGACTTGCAAGGGAGTGTCACATATTTGCTATTCTCCACTGGCGATTTATTCTGATTGGTTGAAAAACAGAACAGGTCAAGTTTGCAGTAACATTCAGGGATGTCGCGGGACCCAAGTGCATTGAAGTCGGAACGATCAAATGTCAAATGAAGACAGCATGCTCAAAATGTAGGTGAATGCTATGATTACACAAGAGGCATCTTATGTTGAAGTTCTCAAGAACTTTAAAGGCATATATTGTCTAAAAGGATTCTAAAGGCTGTCACCTCATGAAGTTTGGATAGGACAGATGCAGCCATGACATATTCTCTGTTATCTCTAAAGCGGGAAATTCTAGCTTAATGGCAGCTAGGAAAACATGGAAAGATCTGATTTAATTTCCTTCATTGGGATAGAGAGATGTTTAATTTACTCTCAACTGTTGTTGCTGCTACTGCTGTTGTTGTTATTGATGATGATGATGATGTTGTTGTTATTAAGACCAGGGCTCTTCAAACTTGGCCCTTTCATGACTTGTGGACTTCAACTGCCAGAATTCCTCAGCCAGGCACGCTGGCTGAGGAATTCTGGGAGTTGAAGTCCACAAGTCATAAAAGGGCCAAGTTTGAAGAGCCCTGATTAAGACCGTTGCAATTGCATTTTCATCCCAAATACAATTCTCATTTAGTTTTTTACATTTCTCCGAATTTTGTAATGCATGAACATTTGCAAACTCTGTAAATTGGTGAGAAACCACAAATGAGAACATTGTTCAACAATAAAGGAATATGATAGGTAGAAAAACAGCCAGCTCTGCCTATCCCATTACCTCTTCTTGCTTGTCTCTGGACTCTTTATCCTGTGGGGAAGAATTGGGCATATTAAATATATTACATAAATTTCACTGAATCACTGATGAATCATTAATGTTAATTAAAACATGTTCAAGTCATCTATGACACACAACTGAATAAAACACCCGGATTATCTTATAAAATAATCTGTTTTATCATGTTTAGAGCCTTTAGACGTTGATTTTTAAAAAAGACAATGAAAAGCTTTTTCTATAAAAATGGTAAACACTATTTTTTTAAAAAAAAAAAAAACCTAGCTAGAATGACATACAGATGTATTTCCATGATGTGTGTATGATTGGGAAGCTTTAATCTCTCTCTCTCTCTGATTTGCTATCGCATAAATGAACATAAATGATTTTTAAGTAATTAATATTCACAGGCAATCCAAAACCCAGATATACAGATTAAGGACTGAAAAGAACAGTATATGTTAATATCAACAGATCAATCATTAATAAGAATATGTGCATGTGCATGTGTGTCTGTGTGTGTTGTGTGTATATGTGTGTTTAAAAAAGGTAGGATTACACACCTCTGAGGCTTCTTTCTTCAAGTTTCCAAGACTGCTAGATTTTTGTAGAGCTGAGCTTTTGGAACAAATTATAAGAAAAGTAAGCAAGCAAAAATTGAATCTTGGGTCTCGTGCATTAATTCAATGAGCAAGGTAAACATTAAAACAAATTACATCATCATTTTTTAAATAAGGAGTGCAAGAAAAGCGAACAACGTAAGACTTAGTTATCAAATTGAGGAAGTTCTCCAATTGATATGTCCTTGAAGGAGAGAACGAGGAATCTCAAAAAAACCCAATGGTTTTTCCACATCTTACTCCTTGAAAACCTAGCCCTTAACAGTGACATGATTTTTTTCCCAGTAGAGGAAAAAAAAACTGGTTAGAATAATTAAAGGAAAGGTCTGATATGCATGGGGCATAGTCAAGAAACTAGAGATTAATCAGTCTTCAAATTGGTTGGGCTGTTGTTCCAAGTTTGCAAATACTTCCGGAATAACCAGGACACCTTTAGAATGCTTTTGGTAAGTTTAGATCCATTGTTTTAAACCATGTTTGAATTCCAAACACGTGGGATGGAATGTCTTAAATTCCAAATGTTTTCCACACAACTACAAATAAATAAATAAAACTTTGTCCCTAATGTGAGTTATGTGCACATCCACAAATGAGACATGGTATGGATGGAAGAGACTATTATGCTGGAGCCCATCCTAAGGGAACTTCTCTCTAGCACAGCGGTTCTCAACCTGTGGGTCGGGACCCCATTTGGGGTCGAATGACCATTTCACGGGGGTCGCCAAACAACGCAGTCCGCCATTTTTTCCCCCTTTTCTTTTCCTTAGCTTTGCTACTCCCTTTTATTTTATTGGCTTTTGAAAGCCAATAGAATAGACTCTCTTGAATAGAGTCTAATTCTATTGGCTTTCAAAAGCCAATAGGAATTGTCCAGGCTGTCTCTGCCCTGCTGAGCCTGCCAAAAGTCCCATTCTGCAAACGGTGCTGCACCAGTTGAGTAGTCCTCGACTTACGACCGGTTGGGGGTCGCGGCATTAAAAAGGTTGAGAACCACTGCTCTAGCAGATTGAATCCTGCAACATTATCTGGGGACACATATATTTGCCTTCATTTGTGAACATCGTCAGTGCTTGATTAACTGCCACAAAACCACCAAACTCAAGAGAGCTCTAAGGACCCCAAAGAGACATGGGTTTGTCAAAACATTTTTCTAAGATAATGCCTGTGCTTACGCGAAACATTGCTCAGGATTCACAGTCCTGTACAACTGGCAATGAGTTGCTACTATACAGAACAACAGAAACATTTCACTTGGCGCTTTTCGATTATATTATTTTAGCTCAAATAAGAAGCCCAGTGAGGGTGATCAAATAGGGCAAGGAATCGCCTGATAAATTCCAATTTAATAGTTCCTGCAGATTCAATTTCCCTCTAAAATTAATTGATGTTATGGGGCTAAAAATTTAAAAAGGCAATAAATGTGTTCAACAGTATGAAGAATCATATAATTGAATCCATTATCCTCAAGCTGTCAGAACAGAAAACTTTGCAAGTGCACATTAGCTCCGAAAATTCATTCTCCTGCAATTTTTGAAACTACGTTTCCAAAACCAGACATACAAAAGATCAAACCGCATGCCTTTTCTTCGTGATTTAAATAACAATATGCAACGAATAAACCCCTACAGGGTTCCAATCATGCAGATAATAAGCATGCTGCCTTTATTTCATTTAGTTTTAGTTTTTAGATTCAGATTCCAAAACTGATTTGCCACACAGGCAAAGGAACAGTTGCTTGAAAAGTCATGCTTCGGTAATAACAAAGAGAAATTATTCTCCTAGAATTGTATCTTTGCAAAAGAGACTTTAAAAATGAAACGCTTTGCTAAGGTAAAACGTTTTATCTTTTTTTCCTAAATTGGAGAACTGGCTTGGTGCAGTGGTTATAAGACTCTGAATTTCTAGTCTTGCAATTAGGCACAAAACCAGCTGAGTGATTTTGGTTAATCCCTCTTGCAAGGGCTAGTCTGGAGTCCAGGAATCAAGTTTGTCTCAAAGACACCAAAAATAAAATCAACTTTATCTCAAGAGGTCCAAAATTGAAAGGAGACATATCAGAAGATTTATTTTATTTATTTTATTTATTAAAATTTATAAACCACCCCACTCCCGCAGGACTCCGGGCAGCTAACAATAAAAACACAATATAACTTAACAAGACAAACAATACAGTAATATTCATCCAGGGGTCAGATTTTATAAACCCCAGGCCTGCTGGAAAAACCAGATCTTAAGCAGCTGGTGGGAGCGGTCCTAATCTCCGGGGGGAGCTGGTTCCAAGACGTGGGCGCCATCACAGAGAAAGCCCTCCCCAGCGGCCCCGCCAAATGGCACTGCTTGGCCGACGGGACCTGAAGGAGGCCCAGCCTGTGGGATCTAACCGGACGAAGGGAACTATGAGGTAGTAGGCGGTCTCGCAAATAGCCTGGCCCTGAGCCATATAGGGCTATAAAGGTAATAACCAACACCTTGAATTGGACCCGGAGACCAATAGGCAACCAGTGCAGCTCGCGGAGGATAGGTATAATGTGGGTGTACCTTTTAAAAGATCCTTTTAAAAGTTTGGAAGACTTCTGATAAGATCAGAGTGTCCTGGTCTGGTTTCAAAACTAGATTCCAGGATAGGAGCATCTTCGTTTCAACACATGCCTTCCTCTCTCTACGATACACTTAAAGATAATTTGATAAACTCTCTCCAAAACAAGTCCATAGGACTTCAATTTCTGTGTCTCCTTCCCAAGCTCCTTCTCCAAACACCACTGAAATACAGGTGGTCCTTGACTGAAAACCACAATTAGGTCCAAAATTTCTGTTGCTAAGGGAGTCATTTGTTGAGCGTCCCCTTTTAGGATTTTTCTGGCCACGGTTAAATGAATCACTGCAGTTTTTGAAGTTAGTCACACAGTTGTTGAAATCTGACTTCCCCCATTGACTTTGCTTGTCAGATGTTTGCCAAAAGGGATCACATGACCCCGGGATGCTGCAACCGTCGTAAATATGAGTCAGTTACCAACTGTCTGAATTTTGATCACGTGATTATGGGGATGCTACAATAGTCGTAAGTGTGAAAAAGGGTCCTAAGTCACTTTTCTTTCAGTGCTGTTGTAACTTTGAGCGCTCACTCAATGAACTGTGTATGTCAGTGTTTCTCAACCTTGACCATTTTAAGGCATGTGGACTTCAACTCCCAGAATTCCACAGCCAGCAATGCTGGCTGTGGAATTCTGGGAGTTGAAGTCCACATGCCTTAAAATGGTCAAGGTTGAGAAACACTGGTGTAAGTCAAGAACTAGCTGCACTTTTAGTAATCACAGAGTATCAAGAAGCAGATTTCAGAGTTTGTTACTGCATCCCCTTCTCAGCCTACCATGTCTACTTGATTAAGCTTGAATATTGTCTCACCGATTCGCTGCCAAATAATTATTGGGTTAGAAATGGTTACCAAAAAATAGGCACCTCAATTCAGCAAAGCATTTAGTAACTTCATTAACTGAAGCACAGGTGCTCGTGATTAGTTTAGGACAGTGGTTCTCAATCTGTGGGTCGGGACCCCATTTGGGGTCGAACGACCATTTCACGGGGGTCGCCAAACAAGGCTGTCCGCCATTTTTCCCCCCTTTTCTCTGGCCATGCCCCTGGCACCCAGTGATGTATAAGTGGTTGGGGGTCACCACAACATGGGGAACTGTATTATGGGGTCACGGCATTAGAAAGGTTGAGAATCACTGATTTAGGAGCACTGGAAAATCAAATCTCTTTTGCCTTGCCAAAAAGCTAGCCAGAAATTGTTTGGGAATGTATTACAAAATCCGACAAATCCCTGGTGCTATACAACTTGCTTGGAGATGCTTCATGCTGTAACAGAAAAGGAAAACTAAACTAGAGTAACTGAAAGAGCCGCAGGGAAATACGAGCATGGGGGGAAAAAAAAAACAACAGTAGTAACCGGGAAGGGTCAAAAAAATCAAAATGGCAGCCATTCTTTTGTTCCCATCCTCTCTGTGGACCCCCCCTATCAACAACACGAAGGCACTTCTGTAAAACAGTTTAATAGTTTTTGGGTTCGGATGTGCCCAGATTTACATTTTTATAGGATACTTACATTTTTGTATCACTTAGCTGGGTTTCTATGGAAACCACCGCTGGGTGTTTTTCACTGCAAGAAGAAAAAAAGAAAGAAAATAAAGAGAGCCTTACAAATATTGCCTCATCTAATAAATAGTATTATTACCAATAAAAGTACTGTTTCTGATAGAAGTATTATTTCTTCCAGAAAGAACATAAATGTAGTCAGGTCTCGCTGACTACAAATTAAATTTGACAGCAATCTATGGATTGCACTGATATAAAATTTCCATAGGGATTTTTGAAGGAAATTAGGAGAAGCCCACAAAATATTGTAGGAAAAAAAATCTCTGGCTAAATGCTACTCAATTTTGCCCAATCCCCTCCCCCTCCCCCCCTCCCCCCATTTGAATTCTTGATGTTTTTGCTCACACTGTCAAAATATTGTCCTTCTAAGATCTAGACAAGCCTATCAAAATCATTGGGTTTGGTTTAGGACTCAGCAGGATAATAATAATCATAGTTATTCAAAAATTACTTGACATCCTCTGCCGCATTAGTCTGTCAGTTACTGGAAATAGCAAACGTTACCAAATTTGATATTTATGTACTCCAATAACTAACTCCATATTATGTTGATTTGTTCAAGATCTCACTTTACGAACGAAATCTATCGATCCTAAATTTATCGGGTTCAATTTTTTTTCATGAAAAACTTAGTGACTTTTGCATAAAGTGTCTCTACCTGTTTTCACATGCAATTTCTATCTTGGATGGGTTGTTTCCTTTATCAGTCTGTTCTTCTGAATGTCTGAATGACTGTGAAAAAGAAGGAAGGGAAACTTGCAAGACACTAGTGTGGAGCTGGATGGAAGTCTACAAGAGAAGGACATTATATTTTGCATTAAGAGACAATAGACACCCATTTATTAGCCAAATACAGAAGCACAACACAAGCTCCATAATTTGAACCCTTCAAATGATCTTCTTTAGGGTGTTTATATAATTTGAAGCTAATAGTATTTAATGTTTTGAAATGTCCTAAATCTGAAAATCTGCATTCACAGCACTGTAAACAGTATTCATTCCTGGATTTTAAAAAGCTTTCCAAGAAAAAAAATCTAAAAAAAAATATAATACTAAGGATCCAAAATTAAATTAGACAAAGCACTTGTATATGCATGGAAAGGTGATATTTTTTTAAATTGCTCATGCACTTTAAACAATCCCATCTCGATTCTAAAACTAAATTTCAAACGCACCTTGCCACGTCTATTTCACTCTTTTCTAAAACAATCCAGGTTACCCAATTCCACATTCAATAATATAATAGGATACAAATGGCTGATAACCTTCTAATTCTTATAGAGCACAAACCGTGCTTTGCGAAAACAGCAGATAACTGTGGAGCTGTGGACTTTTATCCCTCCTTGATATCCAACTTGGTCTTCAACTTACCGGACCATATGCAAGAGAAACTGAGGCAAGAGCCAGAAGAACAAATGTCTATGGAGAGTCTCAGTCATCCAGATCATGGTTGTCCCAAAGGTGCTGTTTCAAGAAGCAACTGGACTTTCTTGTTTTTCTTTGAAGACGTTTCGCTTCTCATCCCAGAAGCTTCTTCAGCTCTGACTGAATGGTGGGGAACCAAGTCAGAGCTGAAGAAGCTTCTTGGATGAGAAGTGAAACGTCTTCAAAGAAAAACAAGAAAGTCCAGTTGCCTCTTGAAAAAGCACCTTTGAGATAGAAGAACAAATAAATCATAAAACAAGTTATGAGAAAGGCTTTAAGGTTCTAATGCTATAATGACTGTGAATATTATTCCTTACTGCTGGAAGCTTTATGGATGATAAATACTGTCTAATCTAGTGGACAGCTCAATAACTTCACACCCTAAAAGGGGACTGAAGGCTAAAGCATATAAGGTTGCTGGAATTGGGTATGTTTATTTTAATGAAGAGAAGGACGAGGGGGGATAAGATAGCAGTCTTCCAATATCTGAGGGGCTGCCCCAAAGAAGAGGGAGTCAAGCTATTCTCCAAAGCACCTGAAGGCAGGACAAGAAGCAATGGAGGGAAACTAATCAAGGAGAGAAGCAACCTAGAACTAAGGAGAAACTTCCTGACAGTTAGAACAATTAACCAGTGGAACAACCTGCCTCCAGAAGCGGTGAATGCTCCAACACTGGAAGTTTTTAAGAAGAGACTGGACAGCCATTTGTCCAAAAGGGTGTAGGGTTTCCTGCCTGAGCAGGGGGTTGGACTCGATGACCTCCAAGGTCCCTTCCAATGTTGTTGTTATTAGTAGCAGTAGTAGTAGTAGTATGGCAGGGATATCAATTCAATTTCCCAGAATGTCTCAGAACTTTCAATCAATCAATCAAAGAAGCAAGAAGAGAAGCAATCTAGAACTAAGGAGAAATTTCCTAACAGTGATTACCAACCACCAGTGGAACACCTTGCCTCCAGAAAGCTCCATCACTGGAGGTTTTTAAGAAGAGACCGGACAGCCATTTGTCTGGAACGGTACAGGGTCTCCTGCCTGAGCAGGGGGTTGGACTAGAAGACCTCCAAGGCCCCTTCCAACTCGGTTACTCTGTTAGAAGGCTAACGGAGGGGAAAACTGAAATACCTCTTCAGAACTTTTTGTCCTCAAGTCTTCGTGATTCGGAGAACTTGAGAGCGGTGTAGAAGATGGAGTTTTCTCCCCTTCGCTTAGAGTCTGCGGTTCTAACAAGATTGAGGAAACCGATACTGGACTCCCAGAGTCCTCATATTCATCATCCTTGCCTGAGAGTAGAAAAATCAGAAATTTATAGATCAAGTATCTTCTTTGGCAAGGGTGTCAAACTCAATTTCACTGAGGGCCGCATCAGCATTGCGGTTGCCCTTGGGGGGGGCCAGGTGGGTGTGGCCAGAGTGGGTACAGCCTACTGGGTGGGCGTGGATGGAGTGGGTGTAGTCTACTGGGTGGGCGTGGCCAGTTCTACATAATTTGCGTCAAGGGTGCCTGTGGGGGCCTGAGCAGGAGTGGGACAGATCTGAGGGTCTCTGGCAGAAGGGGGTGGGACCGGGGCAAGCGCCAAAGCATGGTCCATTTCTTCATTCCTCACAAAGGGGGACACCTCCCCAGCATGCACCCAGGGGGTGGGGCCAACGCGGCAGGGGCTGGTTCCTCGCTGTTTCCAGACAGCCTTGTGGAGCTAAGACTGAACGTGTTTCAGCATAGATGGCCACCACAAAATTGTACATTGGCTCCTGGCCGGCCTGGGCCAGGGCCAAGGCAGTGGGAGCCGTTCCCTCACTGTTTCCAGGATGGCTTCGCGGGCCACGTGAAACCACTTCGCGGGCCGCATCCGGCCTCCGGGGCCTTGTGTTTGACATGTCTGTTCTTTGGGATCACGGTTTGTTGCTCTGCAAGTAGTCAAACCAAACCAGTGGTGGGGTTCAAATATGTGAAGAACCGGCTCTCTGTGTGGATGCCGCTTCCGGAAGTCCATTCTGGGCCTGGGCAACAAAAAATTAGCTACCGGTTCTGCCAAAGTGGTGCGAACTGGCTGAATCCCACCACTGAACCAAACTCTTAAGAGCTGCTCTTATCCATGAAGAAGGTTTTTTTTAAAAAATATATATATATATATTCTGTTAAAAAGAAAAGTTCTGGTCTCTATTCTCTATTAAGAAAGACTGCTGAAGAATTCTTAATTAAACTGTAGGCTGCATTTCCTGATCTGAAAGTACGGAGTATGTTCTGCTGTGCCCTAACAGAACAATTCTTGTATTTTGGTAGTCAGAAATTAACCCTACAAACCGGGACTTAACCAGGTGTGGTAAACCATGTTTCATTGGAGAGATAAGTGGCAAAAACAAGAAATACAGGGGCAAAATGGCATTTTAATTTCAAATTAGAATAAATCATCAATAAAAATAAAAATATTATAAACCTTGGGTACAATCCCCAAACAACTGGCGCACCAGTTGAACACCCTTGGCATTGACAAATTCAACATCCGTCAATTGCAAAAGGCAGCTTTACTAAGATCAGCTTACATCCTACAAAAACATCTGTAATACCATAGAACAGTGTTTCTCAACCTTGACCATTTTAAGGCATGTGGACTTCAACTCCCAGAATTCCACAGTCAGCATTGCTGGCTGTAGAATTCTGGGAGTTGAAGTCCACATGCCTTAAAATGGTCAAGGTTGAGAAACACTGCCATAGAACATCACCATCTGCCTATCTCAGGTCCTTGGGAAGGATTCGATAAGACAAAAATGCCCAATCCAATCTGAACATCTGGCTGACTGTAGTACAAACCAGAATTTATAAGCAATAATAAGTAACAAAGAAGTAACTAACAAAATAACTAAAATAATAAATAAATACATACATTAGAATAAGCCACAGAAACAAGAGCTAGCCATGGAGTTATACAAATTGTCTCCGTGCTCAAGGCTTACTCCTTATTCCTATCAGCATTGTTAGTCTAAAATGTTTTACAGGTGTCTGTGAAAAATGAAAACTAAAAACTGCTAAAGCTCCTTTCGGGATCCTACTTACGGAAAACATCAATTCCACCCTTTCTTAGATCAAGAATCTTTCAGACCAGGGGTAGGCAACCTTGACTCTTTTATGACTCGTGGACTTCAACTCCCACAATTCCTGAGCCAGCCGTGCTGAGGGGAAAGAGAGAGGTTTCCAAGCTGAGCCATGCTGGATCAGGAATTCTGGGAGTTGAAGTCCACGAGTCATAAAAGAGCCAAGGTTGCCTACCCCTGCTTCAGACAGTCCCTCGTGCTCTGTCACCTTGTGGATTGACCACTGCAGTATGCGCTACATGGGGCTGCTTTTGAAGACCATCCAGAAGCTTCAGTAAGTGCATAATACAGGGGTGTAGGCACTGGGGTACCCCAGTGTGCCCAAGTATCCCTTTCCCTTTAGGTTCCCTTCCGAGTTTATTTTCTTTGCCATCCCTGTTCTGCTGTACTGCTTTTTCTTTTTTTAAAAGTCTTCTTTCTTATTAAATGATTTAACAACTGAAAACTGCCCAGAGCTGCTGGGAATCAGGTGGCACATTAAATTTAGTACAATATTGCATTATCCGTTATGCCGAGATGCCAACTGGTAACAAGAGAAACCCTAATTATAGAGGTGGCCTTTTCTGTTCATCTATTTCTATCTTTTATGAATTCTGATTGTGGCCGCTATAAAAAACAAAACAAAACAGGGCAGTTAGCAAAATGTGATTCTATACCTTTCTTCCCTTGAGCCAAAATCACCATATCCTGCACCTTCTTGTAGCGATTAAGGGACTGACGAAGATCCTCAATCTTCCGATCCTAAAACAGAGAAAAACCCTCTGTTTGAGTGACTTAAAACATAGAATAATAAGGTTGAAAGGACCCTGGAGGTCTTCTAGTCTAACCCCCTACTCAAGAAGGAGACTCTGCTTGAACATCAAACTCATTTAGAAATAATACACACACTTAACACAGTTATAATTCAGCAGTACGGTCACACAACACTCTGAACTGAAGGATGTAAACACAACTTCCGTCTGTGGCACTTGAAGGCTTCTGTGTCTTTTTCCAGGATAGAATGCGAAGGAAATTGGGGCTGATCCCTTTGTGCTTTGAAGCACTGGGTAGTGTCTCATTCTGAAGCACTGCAAACTCCAGAATCTTAAATGAGAGGGCCTTGGTGCTCATTGAGCTTGGTTGTTTTCTTGCAGACATTTCATGACCCAAGTAGGTAACATCATCAGTGTCAGAGGGGAGTGGGTCTAATATCTGGCTTGTATGTCCAATGAACTTGCTACCTTCAAAGAAGGAAGGGTATCTCTCTCTCCTTTAATTGAATTCCAGTGAAAGTCTCTACCTATCCAGGAACTCTGCTTTGCCAATGTTCTTGCTTGCAAGGCAATCTCATTTACCTGCAAGTAATCATACATCACATCCTCCCTTCAGTGTTTCCCACTAACTGCAAACAGAACAAGGACGTCACTTTTAAACGGGCTCCATCAGCTCAATCCGCCTTCTGTTTATTTACCAAAATCAAAATCAGAAAAGTATTTTCATATCTACCTTTTCTTCATTCGCCGCCAATAAAGATTCCACGGCCTTCTTCATCTTTTGGACCTCAACATCTAAAAGGTAAAAGCTACCGCTTACAAAAATGTGGAAGGATAGAAGGAACACCATCTCTTGACCAACTCTACAGTTTAGCATGGAGCAGGAGGAAATACAAATGGACTTCCTTTCAATTAAATCCAAAATTTAAGGAGGAAGAAATCAAATTAGTGATTATCGAGCAAGGGGCATGTGGTGATTCATGCTAGTTGAAGATTAAAGTAACCGTCATTCCTTGCACGCTTCTCGGCCATTACACTACTGAGAGCATTCAAAGACACTGCAATCCAGCTTGTTAAGTTGAAGTTCAACATGAAACCACGGTGCTAACCAGGTCGACAAATTTTAAGTCAGGGACAATGTGTGAAGGACACAAAAGCAAAGTGTGAAGTGGGAATTCTAAACCAAAGACTTTCTGATTGTTGACTCCTCTTACCAACTATGCAACTGTAGCTCTGCAAAAATACAAGGGAATGCTCAATCTTATTAATTTATCAGGAATGTTAGAAATCTCCAAAGATTAAAACATTCCCAATAGTTTGAAACAACGATGACGCTTCTGTAACATCAGCAGCCACATAAAAGGAAACTGAACAACTGAAGAAATGTAAAAAAGGAAAACAACAGTAGAAGACAAGGAAATGGATGGTGTCAATTGATTAGAAGTGATTGTGAAATAAGATATTTGTGATAAAAGGGTGGATATATCTGTTGTGATCAAAAGTCATGCCGATATGTGTCACTTCAGCTTAAGTTTCACACACACATAAAAATGGTTGAAGACAGTACCGGGTATGACCTAACCAGATGCCAGCTGAACATATTTTTGTGAATTGTGATAAATAAAATCAATTAGTCTTGTGAGAATGGAATTCATCAGAGTTATTTGTTGCTCTCAGATCCACTCAATCAATTCAGCCAAACTGAAATGGCTGGCTCAGGAATTCTGGGAGTTGAAGTCACGAGTCATAAAGGAGCCAAGGTTTGAATTCTGGACTTCAAATCCCAGAATTCCTGAGCCAGCATGGCTCAGCTTGGAAACCTCTCCCATTCCCCTCAGCATGGCTGGCTCAGGAATTCTGGGAGTTGAAGTCCCACGATGGCTCATAAAAGAGCAGGAATTCAACGAGTCATAAAAGAGCCAAGGTTGCCTACCTTTGGCCTAGGCCTAGGCCACTTTATGACTCGTGGACTTCAACTCCCAGAATCCCTGAGCCAGCATGGCTCAGCTTGGAAACCTCTCTTTCCCCTTTGGCTCCGTTCAGCCAAGGCTGGCACTTCAGGAAAATCCTAAAAGGCCCAGTGCTCCATTTGTATTACATACTCAAGAGTGTTCCCAATTGTAAACCAAGGACTGGAATTATCGCATTAGAAACCCACCACTTCCTTTAAAGGGAAAATACAGGGAATCTCGACTTACAACAGTTCATTTAGTGAGCGTTCGAAGTTACAACTTAGGACCATTTTTCACACTTAGGGCCACTGCAGCATGCCCATGATCACCTGATCAAAATTCGAATGCTGGGCAACTGGCTGGTACTTACGACAGCTGAAATGTCCCGGATTCACGTGAGAACTTCTGTCAAGCAAAGTCAAAAAGCCAGATTCCCTTAATTAACAACTGTGTTACTAATTTAACAGCTGCAGCGATTCGCTGAACAGCCGCGGCAAGCCAGGTTATGAAAGGGGGGCAAAATTTACTTCATGGCTGTCTCACTTAGCAACAGAAATTTTGGGCTCCGTTGAGGTCATAAGTCGAGGATCACCTGTAGAGCATTTAAAACACAAGGGTTCCCCTTTACAGTTTCTCTTGGATATTCGCTGAACGAGAGATGAAGAGCGAAGGTGAGGGTTAATATGATTTTAACATGATACATGCAGGAAGTGCTACTGAGAAAACAATGTATGACATGTGTTTGGGAGAGGACACCAAAAAAAAATCTTACTTTTATCTTTCAGCTTCTTTTTACAATTGTCATCTGTGCAGGAAGACCCACGAGATTGAAAAATTAGATTCCGAGCGTTAAAAGCATGTGCAAGACAAACCAAACTCAAACTCCCTGTATTTATTTACAAATATAAATCTAGAACTTCCGGGCAGTTCATTTAGCACGCCTATTCCAAGTTTCACACCCCCTAACAACCTTGTGAAGTTGGGCTGAGAGTGTGTAACTGGTAAAATCGCTTCCTAAATTTCCATGGCTGAAATTGACCTGATTTTAAATCTTCCGCAAGTTAACCTCTTAGCGTCTAAAGCGCAATGCGATTCTTTATTTGTGGTTCACACAAGGCCACTGTAAATGATCATGACTTTAGGCTAACCCACCAAATATAAAGCCTTCGCAATAATATAGATGTCTTTATTAAAGAAGGACTAGGGGTGACATGATAGCAGTGTTCCAATACCTCAGGGGCTGCCCCAAAGAAGAGGGAGTCAAGCTCTTCTCCAAAGCGCCTGAAGGCAGGACAAGAAGCAATGGATGGAAATGAATCAAGGAGAGAAGCAACCTAGAACTAAGGAGAAACTTCCTGACAGTGAGAACAATTAACCAGTGGAACAACCTGCCTCCAGAAGCGATGAATGCTTCAACACTGGAAGTTTTTAAGAAGAGACAGGACAGCCATTTGTCTGAAATGGTATAGGGTTTCCTGCCTGAGCAGGGGGTTGGACTAGATGACCTCCAAGGTCTCTTCCAACTTTATTATTATTATTATTATTATTATTATTATTATTATTATTATTATTGTTATTGTTATTGTTGTTGTGTTGTTGTTAATATTATTATTAAAAAGATTATTTATTTATTAATTTATAGCTATTTGGTTATTTTAAAATTTAAATTAAGCTAATAAAACTAGTGATAGTAAGTGTTAAATAACTAATACTATTTATTAGTTAAAAAAAATTTTTTAAAAAAAAAACACCAAATACACCCTCCTTATTCCCAGCTGGATAAATTGCAACAAGGATTGCAATTCTGTAACCTGTCTACAATCACAAGTTGACTTGAACGGCATCTAAACTCAGTGAATAAATTAACTGTTATTTATTAAACTCGTGACTCACCCACCTTCAGGAAGTAAAAACCAGCTTATAGCGCCATAAATAAAAACTTGTGGACTCTTTATTTTAAGAAGTCCGTGCTTGTTTAGTTTTATTAAAGCTGTACGTTTAGCTGTTCCTTGTTCTGAAAACATTTCAGCAATCTTCAGCATGCTTGCTGATGTTAATTTGGAAGGGTAAACGCTTGGCTTTTGGGATATGTGTTTTAAAAGAAAATTCTGCTTGCCAAAACTCATTTATTATTGGCTTTTGGGATGTGTGTTTTAAAAGAAAATTCTGCCTGCCAAAACTCATCTGCTTAAAGAATGTCCAGAGTAAATTTGCTTACTTACTTGTAGGGTGTAGAGCAGTGGTTCTCAACCTTTTTAATGCCGCGACCCCCAACTGGTCGTAAGTCAAGGACTACTCAACCGGTCATCAGTCGAGGACTACTCAACTGGTGCAGCACCGTTTGCAGAATGGGATTTTTGGCGGGCTCAGCAGGGCAGAGACAGCCTGGACAATTCCTATTGGCTTTTGAAAGCCAATAGAATTAGACTCTATTCAAGAGAGTCTATTCTATTGGCTTTCAAAAGCCAATAGAATAAAAGGGAGTAGCACAGCTAAGGAAAAGGGTGGAAAAAATGGCGAACTGCGTTGTTTGGCGACCCCCGTGAAATGGTCGTTCAACCCCAAATGGGGTCCTGACCCACAGGTTGAGAACCACTGGTGTAGAGGGAGAGGCAAATATAGTTTCTGCCTTCTTTAAAAAAATAAGTAACAACGTTTCTAAGCCCAAAGTTTCTCAACCTTAGCAAGTTTAAGATCTGTGGGCTTCAACTTCAACTGTGTGAAATCCCACAATCCCCCAGCCAGCATCACAAAAGCGGTGTTTACCATTTTGGCCTCACCTTTGCCATTTAGGTCAACGTCTCCTTTCCCTTGAAGGGCCAGTTTTTCTTGCAATCGTTTTATTTCTGATTCCTTCTGTTCTAATTTCTCTTTTAAAAACAATAGTTCTTCCTGGGCAGACAGGAAAAAAAAAATCAATATATTTGGCTTTCACTTTTAAAAAAGACAGCTTTAAACCGAAGTTGGCTGTTTAAAGTAGAGATGGCGTTCATTTATTTTTAAATAATCATATCAGATTTGGCCAAAATGGGGATCACATGACCCCGGGACACTTTGACCGTCATAAATATGAGTCATTTGCCAAACATGTGGATTTTGATCACGCAACAATGGGAATGTTGCAACAATCATAAGTCACTTCAAAGGGTCATTAAAGAAATGGTTGCAAATTGAAGTTTATCTGTGCAAATATAAAATGTAAAAATAATCTCTCTTCTAGCCACAAAGCCATCCATCTCTGATTTAAACATTTAATATCCTGGGTTGAACTGAAATGTGATCCTAAAAGGATCTTCATTACCATTTAGTCATGCATGACACATTTTCCCCAACAATTAGGTATACAATACTGACAGCACAATTCTACACTCGCCTGCTTTCAATGGAAGTGACTCCAGATTGAAAGTTAAAATGACATCTTTCACAACACAAAATGCTTCAGCATGCTTTTATGCTTAAAATCATAAAAACAGTGCATATGTAGGAATGCAACTATGTGCTCCGTACATTTGTTCGTGGAAAAAATACAGACATGGATAAAAGAATTAACTATGATAGGATATGGGGATACCCCACAAATATAAATATCTTGCTGAGATTATAAATAGTTTTTGATTCGTTTGTTTGTTTGTTTTTAAGGAAACTCAAATTAACATACACCATCATAAAATGTTTAAATAGGAAGGAAAGAATTATAAAAGTTTAGAACTGTGTTTCAGGATTAAGATTCAAATAATAGAACATTAATCTTCATATGGATGGCCCTGGTAAGGAATAATTCATTCTCACATACAACCCAAATGAATCTATCATGTTGGGATGCCTAACTCCATAATGCCTCTCAGATTCATTAGTCACTTTTCCCCCAAAATAATTGGCTAAAATATCAGAGAACGGATGGAATTTTATCCTTAGACATAGTTCCAAATTATCTTTCTGAGAACAGCTGATTTTTGTAAAAAATTCCTGGATGCCAGCAGTTGAAACTCAGGGGTTAGGGGATTTTTTAAAAAAAAAAAAATTCAAGCCAAAATCAAAAACAGTGGGCAGGCTGAGACCCAGAGTGGAATTTTACTCTTAAAAATTGTTCTGGATTCTGGATCACAGAAAAAGGTATGTGTTCTTGTACAGTTGTGTACCAAGTAGTGGAGAGTGAGACAGCATATATATTGTATACAAAGGGAGGATCCAGGGGTAGGCAACTTGGCTCTTTAATGACTCGTGGACTTCAACTCCCAGAATTCCTGAGCCAACATGGGGGAAACCTTGGCCCCCTTCATGACTCGTGGACTTCAACTCCCAGAATTCCTGAGCCAGCATGGCTCAGCTTGGAAACCTCTCCCTTTCCCCTCAGCGTGGCTGGCTCAGGAATTCTGGGAGTTGAAGTCCACGAAGTCGTAAAAGAGCCAAGGTTGCCTACCCCTGGGAGGATCAATCAGTTTTACAAGAGGTCTAACTGATTTTATCAAACACTGATTTTAATCAGCAATTATTCAATATTTTTCCTCCTGACCCTGTTCTTTGTTACAACATCTGGAAGGTATATTCACACCCACATATACAAGCATGTCAGTAGGGAAGGAGAAAGCCCTAGGATTTGGCTTTTAGATGGAATAGTTAAAGTAGTTTGAGAAAATGGAGCACTCAGCCTTTTACAGGATTTTCATCTGACCTTCCTCAATATATCCTAGGCCAGGGGTAGGCAACCTTGGCTCTTTTATGACTCGTGGACTTCAACTCCCAGAATTCCTGAGCAGCATGGATCAGCTTGGAAATCTCTCCCTTCCTCTCAGCGTGGCTGGCTCAGGAATTCTGGGAGTTGAAGTCCACGAGTCATAAAAGAGCCAAGGTTGCCTACCCCTGGCCTAGGGAATTGCAATGCAGGAAAGACAATTTTTGTTTGTGCATGTGTGCTTGTGTATATAGACAAATACATACAAGCCTACACAAACACACGCATGCACACATATATTGTATACTTCCTAGCCTCCCTTTTTATAAAATTAAAATTCTAGAGGGTTCTAGTGACCCAATTTAATTTTTTTTTAATGCAGATAGGCCAAAAATCAAGGAATCTTCTCTGCAACAGAAGCATACTTGTCAACGAAAATATAACAGGTTAACACAGCCTGAAATTCAAAATGGCATACCTAAGATTGTGTTTCTTTTTAAGCTCAGGTTAATGTGGTGAACACATTTCAAGAAAGAATGGCAACTGATGGTTTTCTGTGTTATGCTAAATCAAATTTTTTTTTAAACAGAAACAGAGATATTTTAGAAACACACAGAGAGATATTTTGGTTTAGCTGGAGACATAAATCGGAGGGATTTACATAGGAACAGGAGGGGAAAAAATCCACACATGCATTGCACCAAAAAAAAAAAAAAAGTTTAAAAATACAGACAAACAAAATGGCAAAGAGGGTTTACGAAAGCCGTGGAAAATAAATGATTCAAAAACCACCAATCTACCAGACCTTCAGCATTTGGCATTTTTGCTCCATCCGCTGTTTTTCATACTGCATCTGGCCCACTTTGATTTTCATGCTAGAAAGTTTGGCCATTAAAGACTGGCAAGAGGGACAGAGGATTGAAAGAGAAGTAAAGATGTAGGAAGGGAAAAGGCTAAATAATAAGAATAATAAACAGGACTACGTTCAAAGCAAAAGAGCTGACTTTTAATGAAAGATACGCCTATCAAAAGACATCAAACCTTTGAAGCAAAAGACCTTATATTAGCTATTCAATATGATGGACAGATCTAACAGGAATTGTGCAATGTGACTGGTCAATTGGGTTTAGCTATGCTCTGGGTTTGATCACCAAAGCTTGTGCTTTGGACTATGTAAGAAGGTGAATCTTCCATTTGTCTTCAACTTCTGAAAGCAGTCCTTTTTCTCTTGGATCCAGTCCCATTAATAATGATTAATGATTGTCCCTCAAGCTAGAAGGACATCATAGAACAGTGATGGCAAACGTTTTGGAGACTGAGTGCCCAAACTGCAACCCAAAACCCACTTATGCATCGTAGGGTGTCGGGTGGGTGTGGCCCGTTGGCTGGGCGTGGCCCATTGGGTGGGCGTGGCTGCGGTGGTAACGGCAGACTGGTTGGGACTCAAAAGTTCAATCAATCAATTCCAACTTTGCAAGATCTTTTTTTTTCCTGCGAGAAGTTGAAATTGACTGATTGATTGAACCTTTTTTTTTTCCTACATGGTGGAGGCCTAAAGCGAAAAGGTTTTATAAAACCCAGCTAAAGGCCTAGGACTGGGGTGACGGCGCACGTGCCCACAGAGAGGGCTCTGAGTGCTGCCTCTGGCACCCGTGCCATAGGTTCGCCACCACTGTCATAGAACAAAAACAGATGTTTTTCAGTTGAGAGTTTCTACGAACCGTGGCTCATGACCTTGCCAAACTTACACCTCTCCAAAAATGTAAGCACATAGAATTTCAGGCAGAAGTAAATAACCTATCATAGAGACATAGGACTTGGTGACAAAAGAGCTTTTTTCTTTAAAAAAAAAGGCAATGATCTTTCTTCAGACATCCACCAACCTAAATAAGAGTTTCTTTGGGACAAGGCATAATGTTCTGACTTCGGAATTATTACGAGGAAAATATTCTAAAATTCCATTTGCGAAATATGTTTGTCCATTAAAACTGGAGATATGAAAAACTGTCCAACACAGTAATTTTCTGTAGCTTCTAGAGAGCTTTGTAATTCCTATAACCTGCTCCTTTTACATCAATACCTATAGCAATCTGACAATACTTCTAGTTTCGTCCTTTTTTTGCGGACTGTAAATCAATTAGATTATGGCCAAATATTAAGCAGCATCTATACAAATTAGGCATCAATTGATAGAGTCTTCCCACAATTATAACATACCTTTTGTATCAACTATCACGATTATTTATATTACTCTACTTTTATTTATTTTTACATTGTTATCAGTTATACCTTCAATCTTTGGCTCTGGGCTGTAAGAAAAGATTGGGGAGTTGTAAGCTTGGGAAATGATGTGGCTGCTTTCGGACTAGAGGTAGGGAACGATTGCCCCTTTATGACTTATGGACTTCAACTCCCAGAATTCCACAGCCAGCATGGGAGAACGATGGCCCCTTTATGACTTATAGACTTCAACTGCCAGAATTCCAGAGCCAGCATGGGGAAACTATGAATTCTTTATGACTGGGGGACGTCAATTCCAAGAATTTCTGAGCCAGCATGGGGGAACTATGGTCCCTTTATGACTGGTGGACTTCAATTCCCAGAATTCCTGAGCCAGCATGGGGGAACTATGGTCCCTTTATGACTGGTGGACTTCAATTCCCAGAATTCCTGAGCCAGCATGGGGAAACAATGGTCCCTTTATGACTGGTGAACTTCAACTCCCAGAATTCCTGAGCCAGCCATACTGGCTCAGGAATTCTGGGAGTTGAAGTCCACCAGTCATAAAAGGGCCATTGTTTCCCACCCCTGATGTACACAGATACTGTGTTTGTGCTCCTACATATACAAAGCACAATTCTGGAGTCAAATCTAAGTAATCCTCAACCACACTGTTGGCCTTTCCTAAACAATTCTAGAAACTAACTTTTCATATGGTTCTCCAATGTGATCTTCCAATTAGAATGAAATTATATACCCAATGAACATCTAACTTTGTCTTTCAAAAGAAGGTACTTAACCATCTTCTTTTTCTACACCAGCAAGATAATTAGACATTTTAAAGAAAGCGTGCACTAATTTCTTCTTCGCAGGTGTGACATCTTGGTCTTTCAGTTTGTGAATTACACAAAATGGGATAGTGTAAAAAATACAGAAAGAGAAACCAGCATTTCTATGAAGATAGTCGAGTTAGGTTTCTCCAATTCCTCAATAATCTTCTTTCCGTGATGCAAAGAAAGTAATATTACTAGCCCTTCATAAAGACAGTTTCGTAGAAACAGCTCCTAACCGTTACCTATTTCTACCACCTTAAATACAAGCTTAAGTCAATCACGTACTGGCGACCATACCCACGAACCAACTTTAAGTAGAAAAGAGACATGAATATAGATACATAAGTCATGAGGTATAGACTGCTGAAGATGTGTTTCTTTATCTGGAACATGGACTTACTTTGGTAGACTTAAGCTTTTTCTCATATTGAAGTCTTTCCCTGTCCATATCTTCTACTTTTAGGCGCAAATCATTAACCTCCTGCATCAAATCCTGTTTTGAAGTAAAAGAAATGAACAAAGAAGATTTGAAAGTCATGAAAACGAGTAGGAAAATGCACTAGACACAGCTGAGCTACTTCTTCTATCTTCAAGGGGCAGTTTTAAAATGACATCAGCCCTGCTGGTGCAGTGGTTAGAGGACAGTATTGCAGGCAAACTCTGCCCATTGCCAGCAGTTCGATCCTGACCGACTCAAGGTTGACTCGGCCTTCCATCCTTCCGAGGTCGGTAAAATGAGGACCCAGATTGTTAAGGGCAAGATGCTGACTCTGTAAACTGCTTAGAGAGGGCTATAAAGGACTATGAAGCAGTATGTAAGTCTGGTGCTATTGCTATTGCTACCTACCGGGCCTTTCCCATTTCTTTCCTTCTCCTTTCCTTTCCTTCACTTTCCTTTCCTTACCTTTCCTTTCTTTTCCTTTCCTTTCCTTTCCTTTCCTTCCTCCCCTTTTTCTTCCTACCGAGCTGTGGTGGCACTGTGATCAGAGTACAGTATTCCAGGCTAACTCTGCCCACTGCCAGCAGTTTGATCCTGACCGACTCAAGGTTGACTCAGCCTTCTATCCTTCCGAGGTCGGTAAAATGAGGACCCAGATTGTTGAGGGCAACAAGCTCATTCTATGAACCTCATAGAGCAGGGGTAGGCAACCTTGGCTCTTTTATGACTCGTGGACTTCAACTCCCAGAATTCCTGAGCCAACACGGCTCAGCTTGAAAACCTCTCTCTTTCCCCTCAGCATGGCTGGCTCAGGAATTCTGGGAGTTGAAGTCCTTAAGTCATAAAAGAGCCAAGGTTGCCTACCCCTGTCCTAGACAGTGCTGTGAAGCACTATGGAGTGGTACGTAAGTCTAAGTGCCAGTGCTATTGCTGTTTAGAAAAAGGTGGACGCCAATGAGATGGGAATATCTAAGCAAGCCAACTATCTGGGAACTATACAATGAAGGAAGAGCATTCCCCCAAACTCACTGCAGAAAGCCAAATACAACATCCCAGAGTATTAAAGCAGCTACATCCTCTAAGGCACTCAAAGCAGCTGCCTCAAAGGACATCCCTTTGATCTTGACTTTAATAGGGACGTTGAAAGAGAAACTCCATGGAGTTTCTTAGTAAAAATAATGAAGTAATTTGCCATGGCATTCTCCCGTTGTTTTTTTTTCCCAACTTCCCAGTGTAAGCTCACAGTCCAATTTTCTCCCATTGTCTCATATTCAAATATTAACCATATCTGGCCTTATTTAGCTTTTCAAAAGCAGCCAAGGCTGAGATACTCTGGGGTCCTTGGGGCTTTCTGAGCTTGGTGGTTTTCTTGCAGACATTTCATTGCCCAACTAGGTAACATCATCAGTGCTGGAAGGGAGGGGAGTTGGTCTTATTTTTATATAGGGAGGAACTACGAATGTTAGACAAACAAGCTAAGAATCACCAACAGCCCAATGAAGAAACCACCAAGGCTACTTCCATCAACATCGATAGGGCAAGGCAGTAGTATATAAACAGAGAGCAAGCCCTACTCCCTTCTAGCACTGATGCACCTAGGTGGGTCATGAATGTCTGCAAGAAAACCACCAAGCTCAGAGAGCAGCAACAACCAGCAATAATTCGACTCTGAGCTACATTTATTCTCTTCTATGAGATACAATCACCTGCCTAGATTTTACGTAGTAAAAATCTGCTGATCACATCAAATCTTACTTCCAAAAGAAGGACTTGCCATTAGAAGACATCAGCTCAGAGATGAGAACAGTTAAAATATGAGCATTCAAAGAGAATAATTCCAGATTTTTTTTTCTTACCCCAGATTTCCCACATACAGCAACCGCAGATCAAAAATTAAAACTGCAAAACTTTTGGCTCCCTCAAATGTCACTGAAAAACTGCATTAAAAATAGGCATCTCACAGAGATATTCACATCAAGCCTCCCTCTCTCTCTTTCCTCTCTCTTTCTCTTTCCTCCCTCTCTCTCTTTCCTCTCTCTTTCTCTTTCCTCTTTCCTTTCTCTCTTTCTCTTTCCTCCCTCTCTCTCTTTCCTCTCTCCCTCTCTATCTTTCCTCTCTCCCTCTTTCCTCTCCCTCTTTCCTCTCCCCCTTTCTCCTTCTTTCTCTCTTTCCTCTTTCCTTTTTTTCTCTTTCCTCTCTCTATCTTTCCTCTCTCCCTCTTTCCTCTCCCTCTCTTTCCTTTCCCTCTCTCATTCTCTTTCCTCTCCCTCTTTCCCTCTTTCCTCTCCCTCCCTTTTTTCTCTTTCCTCTCTTTCTCTCTCTCCCTTTCTCTTTCTCTCTTTCCTCTCCCCTTTCCTCTCTCCCTCTCTCTTTCCTCTCCCTCTCTCTCTATCTTTCCTCTCTCCCTCTTTCCTCTCCCTCTTTCCTCTCTCCCCCTTTCTCCTTCTTTCTCTCTTTCCTCTTTCCTTTTTTTCTCTTTCCTCTCTCTCTCTTTCCTCTCTCCCTCTCTTTCTTCTCTCCCTCTCTCTTTCCTCTCCCTCTCTCTATCTTTCCTCTCTCCCTCTTTCCTCTCCCTCTCTTTCCTTTCCCTCTCTCTCATTCTCTTTCCTCTTTCTCTCTCTCCCTTTCTCTTTCTCTCTTTCCTCTCCCCTTTCCTCTCTCCCTCTCTCTTTCCTCTCCCTCTCTCTCTATCTTTCCTCTCTCCCTCTTTCCTCTCCCTCTTTCCTCTCCCTCTTGCTCTCATTCTCTTTCCTCTCCCTCCCTCTTTCTTTCTCTTTCCTCTCTTTCTCTCTCTCCCTCTCTTTCTCTCTCTTTCCTCTCCCCCCTCTCTCTTTCTCTCTCTCCCGCCGTCTCCCTCTCTCTCAGGTGACCACATCATTTCCTTTTTATTTCTCCTAGACATAAACTTCCTCTTAGCACCAGTTTTGGAAAATGAAAAACAAAAATGAGGAAAGAAGCCACGCTTTGCTGTATTTTCAGGCAACAAAATTATTCTTGCTATTTCCTACCAGGATTGTGAAACTGTTTGATTTTAAAACCTCTGCATGCCAAACTTTTCAAACAAGGGCCTTTACGCATAATTCCCACATTCTTGGTAGCCACAACCTGACATAATGGAAGGAATTTGGGTGGCCATTAAAATAATCATCCCAGATGTTCTCCTTTTCACTTGTAAAGTAGGAACACTTAGGACTGCATGTGCTACTCTGTGTAACAAGTTCTCACTGAGTTTCAACTTTCTCCATCGCTACACATGGTTCTTGACTTACAACCTTTCATTTAGTGTCCATTCGAAGTTACAACAACGGCATTGAAAAAGTGATTTATGACCGTTTTTCACACTTAACGACCGTTGCAGCATCCCCATGGTCACGTGATCAAAATCCAGAGGCTTGGCAACAGACTCGTATTTATGACGGTTGCAGCGTCCCGGGGTCAAGTGACCACCTTTTGACAAGAAAAGTCAATGGGGAAGTCAGATTCACTTAACAGTTTAACAACTGCAGTGTCTCACTTAACAAGTGTGGCAAAAAGGTCGTAAAATGGGGCAAGACTCTTCTCTTGCTTAGCAACAGAAATGTTGGGCTCAGTTGTGGTCATAAGTCAAGGACTATCTGTGCTCCATCTCACTGAAGACCTCCTTTGAGTTGAGAGAAAAAAAAAATCCCTGCGGCAACCAGATCACATCCAGTTTCCAGGTGGAAAGAAACAACACAACACGATTTTTTTTCAACAGTCAGTTACTAGCCATGCTGAACCTGGCTTGACTCACATCTGCATCTCTGAATTTGTCTTCACAATCCATCCTGTCCTTTTCCACTGCAGTCAGCTTAAGCTTCAGGTTGGAGACTTCAGCCATGAGATCCAACTTCTGAGTTTCAAGAGATGTTCTGCTTAAGAGCTCCTGTTAAAAATGAAAAAAGAGAATCAATGGTTTAAAGGAGGGAAGAGAAAGATGGGGTGTCTTTGAAGGTCCTATCAAATGAAGAGGGAGAAAGGGGGAGGAGGGAGAGAAGGACAAGAAGGAAGAAGGGGGGAGGAGGTGGAGGAGGAGGAGGAGGAGGAGGAGAAGGGGGAAGGGGGAGGAGGAGGAGGGAAGGGGAGGAGGACGACGACTATGGGGTCCTTGGTGCTCTCTGAGCTCCGCTGTTTTCTTGCAGACATTGCATGACCTAACTAGGTGCACCTGATGGTGCTACCTAGTTGGGTCATGAAATGTCTGCAAGAAAAAAACAAGCTCAGAGAGCATCAAGGACCCCTCTGTTGATATGTGGGCCAGCATGTGCTGTGTGCGCGTCAAAAACAGAGGGGAGATTGGTGAGCTTTTTGCCCCCCTGTCATCGCTGTCGAGTATCAGCTGAATCTTGAGGTATCATGGCAGATCAGAGGTTGGAGGAAGTGCGCACAGAGTTTATAAAGCGTTTTAACAAAGCTATCATCAGCCAGCTCTTGGATGATCTGCTCCGTGAGAAAATCACGGAGGATGAAGAGGTGGAAGAAGTGAATACGAAAGATAAGAGGCAGGACCAAGCAAGAATTGTGATCGATAATGTGAGAAGAAAAGGGCCTGAAGCTAGCTGCCGTTTTATTGCCTTCCTCCAGAACCGAGATGCTTTCTTGGCTGGACAACTGGATCTCCAAAACTTTCCTGCTGGACAGTGATGGCGAACATTTTGGGCTCGGCGTGTCAAAAATTCAGAAAAAAACTAACTTGACTCTGCTGGTGTGTCAACGCCCTCCCCATTGGACAAAGGAAAAACAATTCTTAACAAAGTGTTGCTTTGGATAATGAAATGGGCAGCACATAAATGTAATAAATAAATAAATAAAAACTCACATAATTTGTAAAAAAAAAAAAAAAAAAGAGGGGAGAGTCTACCAAACAAAACCCCTAGATTCACAGACAGACGTCGGCGGTACCTGCTGTAACATTTCTTCCGTTGCATTCAGCTTCTCTCTGTTTTCCTCCAGGCACAATTCCAAATCCCTGATCTTCTCTCCCTGAGCATCCACTTGGTCAGTAAGGACACTCACCTGTTCAAAAAAAAAAAAAAAAGAATAATGAAAACAATGGCGCCACTCAATCTCTGAGTACGCCCACCAGAGAAATGTGCTTTTTTCACAGTCATTACACACTGATTTGATGTTTTTGGGAAGGTATTGATAGCAACTCAGGATTCTTTAACTATCTGACTCATAATTGATACCCTCCACAAATTTGAAGACATCATTGCTTGCTCGAATACAATCAAATCAAATTTATTACAGTCCTAAGAATAACAGAATAACAGAGTTTGGAAGGGACCTTGGATATTCTCAGTCATCTAAGTCATGGCTGTCCCAAAGGCGGGTTGTTGCTGTTTTTTCCCCAAAAAGCTGAAAGAATGGAATCCTTCCGTTCAGTCAGAACTGAAGAAGCTTCTTGGATAGGAAGCAAAACGTCTTCAAAGAAAAAAAAGAAATTCCAGTTGCTTTTTGAAAAAGCACCTTTGGGACCAATCCCCTGCTCAAAGGCTGGAACCAAACAAAATATTGAATAAAAAAAAGTATGACATCTTTCCTTGCTCTAATAGATAGTTTTAGAGTCTCGTTTTTGGTCTAAAGCAGTGGTTCTCAACCTGTGGGTCGGGACCCCATTTGGGGTCGAACGACCATTTCACGGGGGTCGCCAAACCACACTGTCCACCATTTTTTTCCCTTTTCCCTAGCTGTCCTACTCCCTCTTATTGGTGGCCACACCCACTTGGGGTCACCACAACATGGGGAACTGTATTATGGGGTCACAGCATTAGAAAGGTTGAGAACCACTGGTCTAAAGGGATTACAAAGGAGAATTCCCATCCTACACGAATATGTTGTTGTTAGTTGCGAAGTCATGTCCGACCCATCGCGACCCCATGGATCACGTTCCTCCAGGCCTTCCTGTCCTCTACCATCTTCTGGAGTCCCTTTAAGCTCACGCCTCCTGCTTCAGTGACTCTGTCCAGCCCCCTCATTCTCTGTCGTCCCCTTCTTCTATTGCCCTCCATCTTTCCCAGCATTAGGCTCTTCTCCAGTGAGTCCTTCCTTCTCATTAGGTGGCCAGAGTACTTGAGTTTCAACTTCAGGATCTGACCTTCTAAAGAGCAGTCGGGGTTGATCTCCTCTAGGACTGACCGGTCTGATCGCCTTGCAGTCCAGGGGACTCGCAGGAGTCTTCTCCAGCACCAGAGTTCAAAGGCCTCCATTCTTTGGCGCTCAGTACACGAATATAACTGATGTTATTTATGTGTAAAATAGGCCTGAAAGCAATGGAACTCACCGGTCAATATATGACTTTAAAAGCTCAATGTGGAAGGTCTTCTAATCAACAACTTAGGGAGACAGCTGCCTACATTTTTCTTTTCTGCAAGGGCTATTTAATCTTACCCTCCACTGATAGCAGCCAGAGAGGGGAGCCTCTTTGAATAATGTTTTCAGCAACTCAAGAGTTTCTTTGATTAATGTATCTAATTCTTGGAGGAACAAAGAAAGCTATGTGCTGCAAGATAACAGCACTGATTTAAATCTGTCCGAAACATGGACTTAAACTTTAGTTAATTGTAAACTCATTATATAAGGCGAGATGATGAAGCTGAAGACAAGGGTTAACAAGATCCTACTAAGAAATTATGGGATTTGGCATGCTACATGCTAGAACCTCCGAGCACACGTGCTGCATCAGAGATGAATCAAATGTTGATAACCGATGAAAGAACTCATTCTGAACCCATTATATCCGAACTGTACATAAAGTGATTTTATATCATTTTAAGCTTCTCGTCTCCTCTTTTGAGTGATGTGCCTCTGCTTATTTGTGTGCAGAAATAAAAAGATAATGATGATGATGATGATGATGATGATGATAATAATATGATCCATAATAATAATAAAGTTGGAAGGCACCTTAGAGGTCATCTAGTCCAACCCCCTGCTCAGGCAGGAAACCCTATACCATTTCAAACAAATGGCTGTCCAGTCTCTTCTTAAAAACTTCCAGTGTTGGAACATTCACCGCTTCTGGAGGCAGGTTGTTCCACTGGTTAATTGTTCTAACTATCAGGAAGTTTCTCCTTAGTCCTAGGTTGCTTCTCTCCTTGATTAGTTTCCATCCGTTGCTTCTTGTCCTGCCTTCAGGCACTTTGGAGAATAGTTTGACTCCCTCTTCTTTGGGGCAGCCCCTGAGATATTGGAACACTGCTATCATGTCACCCCTTGTCCTTCTCTCATTAAACTAGACATACCCAATTCCAGCCACCATTCCTTATATGTTTTAGCCTCCAGTCCTTTGATCATCTTCTCTGCACTCTTTCTAGAGTCTCAACATCTTTTTTACATCGTGGTGACCAAAACTGGATGCAGTATTCTAAGTGTGGCCTTACCAAGCCCTTGTAAAGTGGTATTAACATTTCATGTGATCTTGATTCTGTTAAGGCAGCCTAGCACTGTGTTGGCTTTTTTGGCAGCTGCAGCACACAACTGGCTCATATTTAAGCGATTGTCTGCTAGGGCTCCAAGATCCCTCTCACAGTTACTACTATTGAGCAAGGTATCCCCTATACTATACCTGTACATTTGGTTTTTCTTGCCTAAATGTAGAACCTTACTTTTTTCACCACTGAATTTCATTTTGTTAGATAGCGCCCAGTGTTCAAGTCTGTCCAGATTCTGCTGTATCTTAAGCCTGTCTTCTGGCTTATGACTTTCTGACTTGGGTTTTGTTTGGGTTAAGGGATCTGGAACATCCACAGCTAACATCGTTATCTTTTTCTTAGCCTGTTACTGATTCCCTGATAATTTATAGTTCCTAAGCTTTCTTAGCAACCCTTCTAAGATAGTTCTGCAAAATCTACTTGAAAAGTGCTGCTTGTACGCAACTCCCTGTCAACAAAAAAGCTTTATTAGGCAGAGAGAAAGAAAGAACATGCCAAATTGAAAAAGCACTCACTTGCAGAACAAGAGATTCCTTATCACTTTCCAGCCGAGTCAGCCGTTCCTGGTAGACATCTCCGTTAGCAGACAAATGTCCATTAATCTGGAAAACAAAAGGAAAAGATTAGGTCAGTGATGGCGAACCTTTTAGAGACCGAGTGCCCAAACTGCAACCCAAAACTCGTTGGGTGCTGAGTGGGTGTGGTGCATTGGGTGGGCGTGGCTGCAGTGGTAACGGCAGACTGTGTGGGACTAAAAAGTTCAATCAATCAATTCCAACTTTGAGAGATCTTTTTTTTCCCCACGAGAAGTTGAAATTGATTGAATTTTTTTGTGGTGTGTGCACACAGCGGCGGAGGCCTAAAGCGAAAAGGTTTTATAAAATCCAGCTGAAGGCCTAGGACTGGGGCAATGGCCCACGTGCCCACAGAGAGGGCTCTGCGTGCCACCTGTGGCATGCGTGCCATAGGTTCGCCACCACAGGATTAGGTTGATGTCAGGTGGCTTTCTCAATCCATTTAAAAGACCACAACAAAGTAAAAAGGAACCACAAAGGTTGAATTCAAGATCCCTTCCCACCCCGTACCCCATATATTTGTTTTCTGTTTACTCTTTTATATCTCACAAAACTCCAAGATGATACCAAAGATGATTAGAGGATTGGAGGCTAAAACTTATAAGGAATGGCTGCTGGAACTGGGTATGTCCAGTTTAATGAAGAGAAGGACCAGGGGGGACATGACAGCAATGTTCCAGTATCTTAGGGGTGGCCACAAAAAAAAGGGAGTCGAGCTATTCTCCAAAGCGTCTGAAGGCAGGACAAGAAGCAATGGATGGAAACTAACCAAAGAGAGAAGCAACCTAGAACGAAGGAGAACTTTCCTGACAGTGAGAACAATTAAATCAGTGGAACAGTCTGCCTCTAGAAGCAGTGAATGCTCCAACACTGGAAGTCTTTAAGAAGAGACTGGACAACCATTTGTCTGAAATGCTATAGGGTTTCCTGCCTGAGCAGTGGGTTGCACTAGATGACCTCCAAGATCCCTTCCAACTTTATTATTATTATGGATTATCGCACAGTCAGCCAGATGTTCAGACTGGATTTGGCATTTTGTCTACCTATCGAGTCCTTACCCAGGACCTGGGATAGGCAGATGTGGATGTTTGATGGTATTACAGATATCGTCGCAGGATGGAAGCAGTTCCTAGTAAGGCCGCCTTTTGCAATTGACTAATAGCGAATTCGTCAATGCCAATGGTGTTGTTGTTGTTGTTGTTGTTGTTATGGATCATCGCACAGTCAGCCAGATGTTCAGACTGGATTTGGCATTTTGTCTACCTATCGAGTCCTTACCCAGGACCTGGGATAGGCAGATGTGGATGTTTGAGGGTATTACAGATATCGTCGCAGGATGGAAGCAGTTCCTAGTAAGGCTGCCTTTTGCAATTGACTAATAGCGAATTTGTCAATGCCAATGATGTTCAAGTGGTGCTCCAGTTGTTTTGGGATTGCACCCAAGGAGCCTCTGACTATTGGTACTACCCTAGCTTGCTTTTGCCACAGTCTTTCTATTTCTATTTGTAGGTCTTTGTATTTTTGTTATCTTTTCCAGTTCTTTCTCTTCTACTATTATTATTATTATTATTATTATTATTATTAAGTTGCAGAAATTGGGTATGTTTAGTTTAGTGAAGAGAAGGACTAGGGGTGACATGATATGGAGGACCATATCTCAACAACAATTTTCCACGCGAGAATGGTTTCACAGTCATGGAAACACAATACAAGATTTCACTGAAGATGTACATTCAAGATCAGATCGCATATAATCTTATTTTCCAGTAGATGGCATCTTTGGACTACTGCAAATCGAGCTTCTTATGGAGAACTTTCATGTCACCCTCAGAAGAGACAACCACAATTTTTGTTGTTGTTGTCTCTCTCAGTCACGTTCTGCAGGGCTGCCTAGCCATCTAACTACTGGCCTGCGAGCTAATTTTTAATTTTTCAATTTTAATGGATGGACAGCGCAAGATTGGAACTGCAGACTTGGGCTCAAGCTCATATTTCTAAACCTTCCTTCCAACAGAGAACTGGATGGCCTAGATCATCATTTTTAATATCGGGAGTGACCTTCACAATATTAATTGGACATCAGCTTACATGATGAATTATGGAAGAGGTGAAAGTAATTACAACAACAGTAGCTGAACTGGTCATTCCTCCTAAAATGCTGCAACTAGCAGATGCTGCTTGCAAGATAGTAAGAATGCAATGCAATCCCACCGGCATTGTCAGTTTAACATCAAAAGTCAGTTACATGAGAAGATAGCAACCCTCTATCTAAATTCTTTTTCTTTCTTTCTTTCTTTCTTTCTTTCTTTCTTTCTTTCTTTCTTTCTTTCTTTCTTTCTCCTTTTTTCTCTTTCTCTTTCTTTCTCTCTCTTTCTTTTCTTTCTTTCTTTCTTTTTCTCTTTCTCTTCTTTCTCTTTTTCTTTCTCTTTCTTTCTTCTTTCTCTTTCTTTCTTTCTCTCTTTCTTTCTCTCTTTTTCTTTCTTTCTTACTCTTTCTCTTTTCTTTCTTTCTTTCTTTCTTTCTTTCTTTCTCTCTCTCTTTTTTCTCTCTTTCTTTCTCTTCTTTCTTTCTCTCTCTTTCTCTTTCTCTTTTTTCTTTCTTTCTTTCTCTCTCTTTCTTTCTTTTTCTTTCTTTCTTACTTTATCTTTCTCTTCTTTCTTTCTTCCTTCCTTCCTTCCTTCCTTCCTTCCTTCCTTCCTTCCTTCCTTCCTTCTTTCTTCTTATTTATTTCTTAAATTTATAGGCCACCCATCTCACTCTGCAAAGCAACTCACTCATCACAGATAAAAGTAATAGGGAAGCGCAAAATCTTGTAAAAGACTCAGAGACAAATTGCATGGCAACGCCATCAAATTTTGACAAGCATGTCGCATCACATCACACTGCACTTATGTCAGACGCACTAAGGCACTTCCGGGTTGAAAGGATTAGTGGGTGAGATCACCGTTGCCTGGAGGACACCCTGTTGGGAGCTGGTGCGAAGTACAGGAGCTCAACCTCACCCCACAGCAGCGCTTGAGTCTCCACCGCAGGCTTGCTAACCTTCAACCCAGCGTTCTAACCATGCAAGCCACCATGTTCCTTTGAGAAGTATGTTAAAGTATGTTAAAAAAAATCCTGGGATCTTTTTAGGCTAGCCCAGGGGTAGGCAAGCTTGGCTCTTTTATAACTCGTGGACTTCAACTCCCAGAATTCCTGAGTCAGCCATGCTGAGGTGAAAGGGAGAGGTTTCCAAGCTGAGCCATGCTGGCTCAGGAATTCTGGGAGTTGAAGTCCATGAGTCATAAAGCGGCCTAGGCCTAGCCCAGGGGTAGACAACCCTGGCTCTTTTATGACTCATGCACTTCAACTCCCAGAATTCCTGAGCCAGCCATGCTGAGGGGAAAGGGAGAGGTTTCCAAGCCGAGCCATGCTGGCTCAGGAATTCTGGGAGTTGAAGTCCACCAGTCATAAAAGAGCCGAGGTTGCCTACCCCTAGGCTAGGCCCACCATTTCTTTTTTTCACTATAATTTAATATTACCCATTTGTTCGTCTCACCATTTGGTTTTGCAGCCATTCCATCAAAACCTCTGCTGTCGAATCGGGGACCTGGCACCGCAATCCTTCTTTTTCATCTATTTCCATCATCTCCAACAAACCCCGAAGGTCTTCCACCAGATGCAGAACTCGCAAGCTTCCCATGAATGGAGACGTTGGGGATTGGCAATCAAACAAGCCATTGGAGTATTCCAGTGCTTTGGACCCTGGAGAACAAGAACAAGGGTGAGAATAAGAAGGCTAAAACGTACGAAGAACTGCTGCGGGACTTGGGTTTGGCTAGTCTAAAGAAAAGAAGAAATAGGGGAGAGATGATAGCAGTGTTCCAGTATCTGAGGGGCTGCCACAAAGAAGAAAAGGGGGTCACGTTGTTCTCCAAAGCACCAGAGGGAAGGACGAGAAACAATGGTTAGAAAGTGTCACAGAGAGAAGCAACCTGGAATTAAGGAGAAACTTCCTGACAGTGAGGACAATTATTAGGTGGAACAACTTGTCTCCAGAAGTTGTGAATGCTCCATCACTGGAAGTTTTTAAGAAGAGATTGGACTACCATTTGTCTGAAATGGTATAGGGTTTCCTGCCTGAGCAAGGGGTTGGACTAGATGACCTCCAAGGTCCCTTCCAACTCTGTTCTGTTTTGTTCTATTCCTTATTCTATTCCTTATTCTATTCTACATTCTATTCTGCTCTATTCTGAATTCTACTCTATTCTATTCTACATTCTACATTCTGTTCTATTCTATTCTAATTCTATATTCTACTACATTCTGCATTGTATTCTATTTTATTCTGTTCTGTTCTACATTCTATTTTATTCTGTTCTATATTCTATTCTGTTCTACTCTACTCTACTCTATTCTACTCTACTCTACTCTACTTTACTCCTATTCCTATTCCTATTCCTATTCTGTTCTGTTCTGTTCTGTTCTGTTCTGTTCTATTCTATTCTATTCTATTCTATTCTGATGCATGAGTGATATTCTACTTTATTTATGGAGTTTTCAACGCACGGTTGGCTCCTTGGACAAAAGGACACTAGCAGGATACAGACCAAGAACCATGCTAACTTACTACTTTAATTGGGATTTTTTTAAAAAAAAATTCTATTACCTTGCTATCAAATCTTTACAATCTGTGCTGTCCCCGGATCTGATAAGAAAGCAGCAAATGACGGAATTGACCGATTGAAAACAGAAAAGGATTTTTTTTTTAAAAAAATGGGATAAGATGAAACTCTGGACGATCATCAGACAGGCTGTCAAAAAACCCTCAAACTTGACAACTGACTTATATCCAAAGCCACCGTAAACACTCAGAATGTACTACCACTACCAAATATCAATTACCAGGAATTACCTTGGACTGAAAGAGCAGAATGAATATAAATGCCTTGGAGTAAAATAGTTCCAACATAATGAAAGCAAGTAAGTTGAGTTTGATTTCTTTCCTAGATCAGCAGAATTCCCGATAAAGGTGGTCCTCAACTTACGACCACAATTGAGCCCCGCATCTCTGTCGCTAAGCGAGAAATTTATTCTGAATTTTGCCCCCCTTTACGACCTCTCTTGCCCCAGTTCTTAAGTAAATCACTGCAGTCATTAAGTTAGTGACAGGGTTGTTAAGTGAAACTGTCTTCCCCATTGACTTTGCTTGTCAGAAGGTCATAAAAGGGGATTTCATGATCCTGGGACACTGCAACCGTCGTAAGTATGAGTCAGTTGCTAAACGTCTGGATTTGGATCATATGACCAAGGGAATGCTGCAACGGTTGTAAGTGAGAAAAAAGGTCATAGGTCCCTTTTTTCAGTGCCTTTGTTCACTAAACAAACTGTTTTAAGTCAAAAGACTACCTGTACTGGATCAGTCCCTATAGACCGGGATTCTTCAAATTTGGCCACTTTAAAGACTTGTGGACTTCAACTCCCAGAATACCCCAGACAGCATGGGGTGGCTGGCTGAGGAATTCTGGGAATTGAAATCCACAAAGTCTTAACGTTTCCAAGTTTGAAGACCCGCCTACCCTCAACCATAAGGTTTCTTCTTCTTCCTCTTCTTCTTCTTCTTCTTCTTCTTCTTCTTCTTCTTCTTCTTCTTCTTCTTCTTCTTCTTCTTCTTCTTCTTCTTCTTCTTCTTCTGCCATATCCATTATCGGACGTTGGCGATCATGTTGGCGATCCTGTTTTTATCAGCAGCCGCATGAACAAGTGCTGCTGAGTTTTATCCAAACCAGACCCTTAGATTTTGAAGCCACGATGTTCTTCTTCTGCCTGGACCTCGTTTGCCCTCAATCTTTCCCTGGAGGATTAAATGGAGTATGCCGTATTTTTCTGAGCGTCACATCACATGTCCAAAATATTCTAATTTTCGTTTTTTAATTGTTTTGATGATTTTCCTTGGCTTTCCCAGGCGGCTCATCCCCTCCTCATTTCTGATCTTGTCAGCCCAGCTTATACGTAACAGCCGCCTGTAAATCCACATTTCAAATGCTTCTAGTCTCTTCAGGTGGCCTTCTGTCAGAGACCAACTCTCTACTCCATGGAGCAGGATAGAAAAAATATAGCATCTGACAAGCCTGAGGTAAAATGTAGAGATAAGGAAGAAGGTGGTGGACGTTCTTCTACCTGCAATGATGCCATCCATCTGCTCCAAAGCTGCGGCCAGCATTTCACTCGCATCGCCCATCATGGTCATCCTTCTGTAGGGTAGCCACCGCTAATATACCTAGAACAACGAGGCGACAAAGAGTTAGGTTGGATTTGCACATTTCAGAAGCCAATCTGAAACAATCTGCAAATTCTGTTCACCGTTGGTTGAACATCACAGGTTAGAGACTATTAGAGACCATTTTCCCATAAGGCACACAATCCAGGTTTGCTCCAACCTAGCTTGGGCTGTAGGGACATGAAACTCCGGAGTGATGGGAGTGTGTATGTATGTCAAAAGAAAGGACTGCATTCTTGGTGGGAAACTTCTTTTCCCAAACTCATGCCAAGTTGTCATCTGTCTGGTTTGTGGAACATCTGTTTCCTTCCAGAACTAGCAGATGTCAAAAACATTCTCGGGAGAACGAAAACACTTAACAACAAAATTAACAAGCCACGTTCTTCGCCTCCGATGTAGTGAGCTGTACCTCACAAAAGGGTAGGCCAGAGGTAGGCAACCTTGGCTCTTTTATGAGTCGTGGACTTCAACTCCCAGAATTCCTGAGCCAGCCATGCTGAGGGGAAAGGGAGAGGTTTCCAAGCTGAGCCATGCTGGCTCTGGAATTCTGGGAGTTGAAGTCCACGAGTCATAAAGCAGCCTAGGCCTAGGCCAGAGGTAGGCAACCTTGGCTCTTTTATGACTTGTGGACTTCAACTCCCAGAATTCCTGAGCCAGCCAAGCTGGATATTCTTACTTTTCCCCCCCCCCTTTCAAATTTTACAAGCTACCCAGCTATATTTTCTGCAAGTCAACTTCTAGAAAGCTGGTCAGAAGACTGGAAGGAATTTCAGGTCTAATGCGATCACCGTTGCGTGCAGATTGTGTAAGAGCTGCAACGGTGATTATCTGCTAACCTTCCCCTACACAAGAGGTGCAATTTATTTATTTATTTATGAGACTTATATACCGCTTTAAGTGCAAGCACTCTCTAAGCGGTGTACACCAGTAAGCAATATATATATATATATATATTTACATTGCCCCCAACAATTTGGGTCCTCATTTTACCTACCCCGGAAGGATGGAAGGCTGAGTCAACCTTGAGTCAATTTGTAACCTGTATCCAACAAAGTCTTCCGATCCAGCTGACCACCGGCTAAAATTAATTCATAAAGTGTATGAATTCATGAACTATGAATTAAGTAAAATTGATTCCCTAAAGTATCTCAATCACGCACTTCGGTTTCCAGGAATTTGGGATTACGTTGCTCTTAGACCATCGTTAACGTGGTTGCATTTTGCAATTTCTGCTATATTCAGGGCACATGCAGTGGGGAGAATTCAAACCACAGTAGCAGATGGCATCCTGCTGAAAGTAGGGTGAATTCTCCAAAAATAGCACCAGATCGAAAAGTCCCCAAGCTGCTTATGTCATATTTTGGATGGAACAATATTCTACGCTGAGTGGATTGCACCTCAATCAATATTGGGTTGTTTGCTGTGACTGACCTCTTAATGAAATTCAGCTTCTTGGTCTGGCTTGCAACTCTGGCCTCTGGTAAACAGCCAATAGAATAAAAGGGAGTAACACAGCTAAGGAAAAGGGGGAAAAAATGGCGGACTGTGTTGTTTGGCGACCCCCGTGAAATGGTCGTTCGACCCCAAATGGGGTCCCGACCCACAGGTTGAGAACCACTGTACTAAATCTGTTTGCAAATTACTAATGTGTCCTCTGTATACTATGACAAAACAGTTAACAGGAAGCACAATAATGATTTAAGAGAGAGAGAGAGAAGGTTAAAGTTTCAAAAACCTCTGTTAACAAACTGTTACTGTAATCAGCTCGTAGGTATTTTTCCATGTCATCTTCCATTTCATCCTGGATCAAATATCCACATTTGTTGTTGTCGTTTTAATTCCATCTCTTATCACTTGTTATCCGATTAAATGTAACAGGTTCCATCTCCAAAATTGGTCTATCTTCCCAACAAAATCCAGATGTAATTAGTTCCCAATTAAGTGTAATAAATACATTTCCCCATTTCTTTCGATTATCCTAAGGCCAACTTCTAATGTTTTCTTAAAACATGACTTGCCTGGCAAGAAATCTGCTACTTTACATTTTGTTCACATACATATGCAAGGGCACGTAAGCACATCCGTGTAAATGTCAGAGAATAATAATATTGCCGCCGATCTGAAGAGTTGCCCAAGGCAAATCTTCTCCATTAAATTCTCCTTTTTTGAACCAAATAAATTTGCAAATACTGGCAAACTAAGGCAAAAGTATCAGGAATCGGGCACAGACCAGATTTATGCATTTCAGCAGTATTAAATTTTCCCTGTTGCAGTGGGAAAATCCTTCTCAACATTTTCTTACAGGCAAACTAAATTATATTTTAATTGAAACGGTCTAGAAACAAATGTAAGCATCTTCATAGGATGTCAAAAGTTCTCTTCCCCTGGAAGTGCCCACATTCAATCATCCCATCTGCAGGAAAAGTTAACAATAAAAAATGAAGAAGGATTGAATTAATGTTATATTGATATTAGGATCTCATTTTTTCCCCCTCTGGCATTCCTTTAGCTCAGTGGTTCTCAACCTTTTTAATGCCGCGACTCCCAACCGGTCGTAAGTCGAGGACTACTCAACTGGTGCAGCACCGTTTGCAGAATGGGTCTTTTGGCGGGCTCAGCAGGGCACAGACAGCCTGGACAATTCCTATTGGCTTTTGAAAGCCAATAGAATTAGACTCTATTCAAGAAAGTCTATTCTATTGGCTTTCAAAAGCCCATAGAATAAAAGGGAGTGGCACAGCTAAGGAAAAGGGGGAAAAAATGGCGGACTGCGTTGTTTGGCGACCCCCGTGAAATGGTCGTTCGACCCCAAATGGGGTCCTGACCCACAGGTTGAGAACCACTGCTTTAGCTTATCCTCTCGTCTTTGGTTTCTTTTAGTTCAGCTTCTTATTTATACTTATACTACAGCAAGTCCTCAACCTACAATCACAATTGGGCCCAAATTTTGTGTTGCTAAGTGAGACCTTTGTTAAATGAGTTTTGCCCCCTTTTCTTAATGAATCACTGCAGTCATTAAGATAGTTACACGGTTGTTAAGTGAATCTGGCTTCCCCCAATGACTTTGTTTGTCAGAAGGTCGCAAAAGGGGATCACGTGACCCCAGGACACAGCGACCGTCATAAATATGGGACAGTTGCCAAGCGTCTGAATTTTGATCAAGGGATGCTGCAAGGGTCGCAAGGGTGAAAAACGGTTGCAAGTGGCAGAACGCAGATCATGTGACCGCGATCACGTGACCGTGGGGATGCTGCAATGGTCGTAAGAGTGAAAATTGGTCGTTAAGTCACTTTTTAAGTGCTGTTGTAACTCTCAAATGGTCATTAAACAAACTGCTGTAAGTGGAGGGTTACCTTTATATGATACTGTGAGTCGTTTCTTTATTTGTTATAGTAACTTGTTTAGCTAACCATCTCGTAGTTGCAACTCTGGCAGCACGCATAGGGTTAAAACCAACCCCGCTCCTTTCTTCCCCCCCCCCCAAAAAAAGAAAAAAAACAGAAAGAAAAATAACATTTTAATAATGAAACCTGTCTGAAATCATAAGGCAGACCAGAACTCACAGAGGCAGGACTGACCTAACTTTTTTGATTATTGTTTAATAAACTTAAGTCTGCTACTCAGCTCAAATACATGGCTCTGGGTTGTTATCCAAGCCAAAATAAACACAATAGCCAAAATTATAAATAGCATGCCACTGACATCCAGGAACTAACAAGCACGTCCCAACTTCCAACCCCCACATGAAAGCCAACATCTTCAAGGTGTTACAAAATGCTTGCAGGGACCTCATGAGTTCCAGACATCAAGAATGGATATCCTTCACTCATAATAATATGACATTTTAATAACCATGAGTGAGGAAAGCTTTATAGACTAATATATAGTTTGTTGGTAACCTACTTATGAATGGGGATGGGGAAGGGAGGGGAAGAGAAGGAAGGAAGGAAGGAAGGAAGGAAGGAAGGAAGGAAGGAAGGAAGGAAGGAAGGAAGGAAGGAAGGAAGGAAGAAGGGAAGGGAAAGTGAATGGAAGAGGAAGGAAAAGGAATGGAAGAGGAAGGAAGGAAGGAAGGAAGGAAGGAAGGAAGGAAGGAAGGAAGGAAGGAAGGAAAGAGGAAGGGAAGGGAAGAGGAAGGAAAAGGAATGGAGGAGGAAGGAAGGAAGGAAGGAAGGAAGGAAGGAAGGAAAGAAAGAGAAAGAAAGAAAGAAAGAAAGAAAGAAAGAAAGAAAGAAAGAAAGAAAGAAAGAGGAAGGAAAGGGAAGGGAAGAGGAAGGAAAAGGAATGGAGGAGGAAGGAAGGAAGGAAGGAAGGAAGGAAGGAAGGAAGGAAGGAAGGAAGGAAGGAAGGAAGGAAGGAAGGAAGGAAGGAAAGAAAGAAAGAAAGAAAGAAAGAAAGAAAGAAAGAAAGAAAGAGGAAGGGAAGGGAAGGGAAAGGAAAGGAAAGGTAAGGAAAAGAAAGGAAAGGAAAGGAAAGGAAAGTCTGTAAATTGTTTGAAAACTTTTTGATTTTGAAGTAGGTAAAATGGACAGGTTAGAAGAGTCCGGTCTTAAACACCAAGCCAGCTATTTCGCAAACATTCTGAGACCAGAACACCTCAACTTTGCAACGCTTTGCACATTTCTAGTGTCAACTATTTTAATTACACAGAAAGCACTAATCCATTTCAAACACAAATTGCTTTTATCTGGCACCATATGAAAGAACATCGCAACCTGCCCATTTGGTTCAAGAAGCTTCATATCCAGATTATACCATTTATGTCGAAAGTGATTATCAAAAACATTTTTTTTTAAAGGTAGACTAAATATTGCAGTCAACTCTGCAGGGCTGAGAAAAGATTCTGTACGGAAAAACAGGCAAGAATTTAATACCAAGATCTACTGAATTCAGGTAGGAGCCCTCAACTGACGATCACAACTGATCCCCAAAATTTCTGTTGCTAAGCGAGACAGTGACTAAGTGAGCTTTGCTCCATTTTACAGGGGTTTTCTTTTCAT